GTGTGCCTCAAGCAGCATCACTTGGCCCGCAACTGCCAGTCAACGTTAAAGTGCGCCAAGTGCAGCCGGCGACATCATGTCAGCATCTGCGATGGCACGCTAGCGCTTGCTGGCAAGGACAAGTCGTTTGGCACGGCCACCAGGTCCGGTCAGCGACGTGCGTCGCCAGCCAAGGACCTCTCGACTGAAGCGGGCACATCCGCAGCTGTGGGCACGGTCGGCAATGGTGGAGCCGTGCTGCTCCAGACGGCTAACGCTACAGTCTGCTCCCCAGCAGACCCGACCCGCACCGCCACGGTCAAAGTCGTTATGGATGGCGGCAGCCAGAGATCCTTCGTGGCGTACGATGTGACCAAGCAGCTGGGTCTACCAACCCTTCAGGATGAGTGGATCTGCCTGAATCCGTTTGGTTCGCGCGAGGGCAGTGCTGCCAGCTGTGTGCAGATCGTCCGTCTCCGCATTCAATGTTCCGACGGCGGGGTGATCGACTTGGACTGTGTTGTATCCAACACTATGTGCCCACCCGTCCACAACCAGCATCCGCATCTAGCCGCCCAGCAGCACGCGGCGCTCGAGGGTTTACCCCTGGCGGATGACAGCGCAGGCACCATCCAGATTGACGTCCTCATCGGTGCAGACTTTTACTGGAAGATTGCCACCGGTGATGTGCGGCGGAATGAGGATGGGCCGACAGCGATAGGCACACGGCTCGGTTGGGTCCTGTCAGGGCCATCAGCCATTCCCTCGTCCAGCCACACCATGGTCCACCCAGCCTCACATGCTAGCTGCAACATTGTCCCCTCGGAGGTCGACGTCGATAAGCAGCTTCTCCATGCCGTCCAGAAGTTCTGGACCTTGGAGTCCCTCGGAATAACGACCAACGAGCCCGAGGTGATGGAGACGTTTCTGCACACCATCCAGCATGATGGACGCCGGTACGTGGTCAATCTTCCATGGAGGGAGATGCACCGGATGCTACCGGACAACCACCAGCTGTGTGAACGCCGACTACAGTCTACCCTGAAGAAGCTACGGCGGCTACCGCAAGTACGAAAGGAGTATGACGCAGTGATGAAGCAGCAGCTGGAGCTTGGGATTGTCGAGCTTGTGCCATCAACCGAGAGCGATGCGCCGGGCAACACACATTATCTGCCGCACCATCCCGTGATCCGAGAGGACAAGAGCACCACGAAAGTCCGCGTGGTGTATGACGCCTCGGCCAAGGCGGGCACCGCGCCATCCCTCAATGAGTGTCTCCACACCGGGCCTCCTCTCATGGAGCACATTCCAGACATTCTGATGCGTTTCCGGGTTAACAAGATCGCGGTGACGGCGGACATTGAAAAGGCATTCCTGATGGTCGGCATTGCCAAGGAAGACAGAGACGTCCTGCGATTTTTATGGGTTGATGATGTCAACAGCGACCATCCCAACACCTTGACATACCGCTTCACCAGAGTGGTATTCGGCGTGTCATCCAGCCCATTCCTCCTGAATGCCACCATACACCACCACATGGATCAGTATGCTGCCGACGATCCGCAACACGTCGAGCAGCTCATCAAGTCGCTGTACGTGGACGATGTCGCTGGTGGTGATACCGATGAAGAAGCAGCATACACCTTCTACGTGAAATCGAAGGTGCGTCTCGCTGAGGCAGGCTTCAACCTGCGCAAGTTTGCTTCCAACTCAGAGCAATTGATGGCTCGAGCACACGGCGACGAAAGCGATGCGGGCTCCAGCGCAACAGACCGTACCACAGTAACCCAAGATGTGCAGTCGTACGCCAAGAGCACGCTGAACACCGACGCCAGCCTTCGCCAGCAGCACGAGAAGGTCCTGGGCCTCCCATGGAATCGCAAGGCAGACACGCTGGTCTTAGATGTCCGTGCTGTATTCGCCGAAGTGGCTGTTGACACCATCACCAAGCGCCAAGCACTGTCAGCATCATCCCGGATATTCGACCCACTCGGCTTCATCACGCCAGTGACGGTGGCACTCAAGATGTTTATCCAGGAACTGTGCAAAGCCAAACTGGAATGGGACCAGCCGCTAGTGGGAGAGCAGCTGGCAACTTGGCGTACGCTCGTCACTGGTCTCGCCACGATGGAGCCAGTCAGCCTTCCCCGGTGGTATTTCCATGGCGCCAGTTCCCAAGCAACAGTTTCGCTTCATGGATTCTGCGATGCATCCGTCAAGGCGTTCGCAGCAGTAGTGTACCTGGTCAGCCACGGGAAAGGAGACACGCAAGTCCAACTAGTTGCAGCACGCAGCCGAGTTACACCCGTCGCTAAACAGTCCATCCCGCGCTTGGAGCTCATGGCGGCGCTAGTCCTGGCCCGACTCGTGTCGTCGGTGCTATCGGCATTGACTGGCGCAGTTAACATCGAGGAGGTCCGCTGTTGGACGGATTCGCAAGTCGCGCTAAGTTGGATTATCGGAGAGCAGCACGAGTGGAAGCAGTTCGTGGAGAACCGTGCGCAATCCATCCGACGTCTTGTCCCGTCATCAGCTTGGCAGTATTGCCCAACTGACTCCAACCCTGCAGATCTGCCGTCACGGGGAGTGAAGCCGAACCAGCTGGAGCAGACCATCTGGTACTCTGGACCGTCGTGGCTCGCCACTGCGAAGTGCAACCCCGACGGAGCTAGTCCTCCTCCTACACGAGCAGTAGAAGCGATGTCCGAACTGAAGAAGGGCCAGCCGACAGCTGCCCTGCTCACCGGGTCAAAGGCACCAGAGGTCGACATCGGGCAGATTGTCGACATCAGCCGCTTCAGCGACGTCGACAAGCTACTACGAGTCACGGTTCTAGCGCTGAAGTTTGTCAGTCGCTTGCAACAGAAGCCTGACCCCGAAGTTCACTCGGCAATGGCGTATGCGCAGTCGCTCTGGCTGAAGGATGTGCAGCGGTCGGTCGTCAGGGACCCCAAGTTCTCAAGTTGGCAGAAAGAGTTCGGAATCTTTTGCGACGACTCTGGCATCTTGCGCTGCAAAGGTCGGCTGCAGAAAGCGGCACTCACGTTCGAGCAGAAGCATCCCGCTATCCTGCACACCACACACCGGTACACTGACCTGATCGTCATTCGCTGCCACCGCCGAGTCGCTCACAATGGCGTGAAAGAGACACTCACGGAGCTGAGGTCTGCCTACTGGGTCGTCCGTGGTCGCCAGTACATTCGGAGCCTGTTGCTAGCGTGCCGTGTCTGCAAGCGTCTCGAGAGCGTGGCGTACGTGCCTCCAGCAGCTCCGCCACTGCCAGAATTCCGGACGACAATCGACGCGCCATTCACCTACACTGGCGTCGACTTCGCGGGTCCGCTGTACATCAAAGAGCAGAGTGCTGTGAAGAAGGTGTACATCGCGCTGTTCACCTGTGGCGTTACCCGAGCGATTCATCTGGATCTCGTGCCAGATCTCTCCGCTGAGACGTTTCTGCGCTGTTTCCATCGATTCACAGCCAGATTCGGCATCCCGAAGGAGATGAAGTCGGACAACGCCAAGACGTTCAAGTCCACGGCCAATACCTTGTGCGCGCTGTTCGAACTCGATGAGGTGTCCTCTCAGCTCGACAGCAGGTCTGTGAAATGGTCATTCAACCTCGAGAAAGCCCCCTGGTGGGGTGGCTTTTTCGAGCGGCTGGTCAAGTCCGTCAAGCGCTGCCTCAAGAAGATACTGCAGCAAGCCACAGTCACTTACGAAGAGCTTCTGACCGTGCTCATCGAGATAGAAGCGGTCTTGAACAGTCGCCCATTATCGTTTGTGTCAACCGAAGATCTGGATGAGCCGCTTACGCCGTCACATCTGATGTACGGTCGGCGCATACTGTCCACGCCCATGGTGGACCCGGAAGATACAGAGGTTGCTACAGTACAGCGTGACTCACTATTGAAACGCCTCGTCTATGTCAAGTCTCTGATTGACCACTTCTGGTCGCGCTGGACATCGGAGTACCTGCTGGAGCTGAGGAACTCGCATCGCACCGGGAACGCTCGTCGTTGCAGTGACATCCGGGTTGGTGACGTTGTTGTCATCCACGAGCAAGGCGTGCAGCGAGGTATGTGGAGACTCGGCCTAGTTGAGGAGCTCCTGCCGAGCAGTGATGGCAGTGTGCGCGGCGCTACTGTCAAGTGCTCAGCCAATGATGGTCGTCCGTCACGCTTACGTCGCCCGATTCAGCGTCTCTACCCGGTCGAGGTTAGCTCCCGGGCCCAGACTGCTGCTGATGATGTCGGCGCAGAGCAGTTGCCTGCCGCTACTCCAGCTGTTGCTGGTGTGGAGTCGTCCTCGGCGGCCCCCGCTCGCCCGATCCGTGCAGCAGCTCGGCGTGCGCAAGAGTTGCGACACCGCCTCATTGATGCTGGCCGTGTGTAGGTGGAGCTGGACACCATCATGAGCTAGATTAAACTTGTTACTGGATCATGCACAAGTCTCTTTTAAGTTATTTGTGCACCGCAGCAGTCTAATTTGAGTTTCCTTGTTTCTTTCTTTCCTTCGTTTGTCTGGGTGACCTTACACTGATTGCAATATCACGTATGAGTTGAGGCATGCATGGTTCTGATCGCCTCAACTGGGGGGAGTGTGAGATATTGCATACGATCGCCAGACAGCCTCGTTCTCTCGCTCTCTCTCTCACTATCTCTCTCTCTCTCTTTTGATCTTCCTTTCTCCATTCTTGATTATCTCATTCTTGATTATCACCAACTCCTCTCTCGCATTTACCTGAGCTTACAGTCTTCTCCTTGTATCTTCGTGTTTTCCCGCACTATCGCCTTTCGCCGTTGGAAAGCGTACGGTAGCTTGATTTGCTGGCGGTTTGCTTCACTGTCTTTTGTTCTTTGAGTTTTCTCCTTCGAGACAAGAGAGACATATTTTTCCTTACAATGAATCTTCGAGACTGATTCCAGAAATTGTAAAACATACGCACTACACCATTCATCCCAGTCACCTGCATGAACTTTGATTATGAAAATCCAAGAAATTCGTTGCTGTGAACCTACCGGGCTCAGTGTGTCCCTTAGCAATGATGCAGTCCTTGCCACTTGGTGGCTTGGTCAGTGTCCAGTCATCACGGCTGATGTGGTGCTCCTCGCCGAGAGCCACCTCCACCAAGAACATGATGCCAGTGTTGCGCGCGCACCGCACTACAAAACCCCAAGCAACACACGCACATGCACGTGCACCCACATACCCACCCACCCACACACACACATACACACACACACACACACACACACACACACACACACACACACACACACACACACACACACACACACGTGAAAGTGAAGTCACGTTAGGTTATGCATGTCCCATTCAGGGTTATAGCCAGAACAAATGTGAGGGTGGTCATCGGAGCAAAATTTTGACCGCCATTTTTTGCTGCCATTTTGAGCGCTACTTTCACCCACGCCAGTAAGCAACCGACCAATTTCCCTTTCATGTATTTATTCACCGATCACTGGAACCCGCCATGAGTAATTTCATCAAATGGGGCAAGAAACGTATTCCGTCCGCCAGCCTCAAACTTGAGGTTATGCGATTATGCCATCATTTTTTAAATACTCTAATTTCAGAAATTGTTCATCCTCTTTAATATTGCTTGATATGGCACACACTTGCCATTCAAATCTCAATACAAACTAGCACTTCACTCTTCCAGCATTTCACTCTTCCAGCATTTCTACACAGAACCACTAACTCTGTACATGTACATGTATAGTGAAGTAGAATGACCCTCCTTGATGCGTACAGTGTACTATTTCATGCTGCCCTTCTTACGTCGTACAGACTCGCGTCAGTACTCATGCATTCTTGTACACCAGAACGTATTCTCTTCTGCTGTACATGATTTAGCCTGTCGCAAGGCACCCGACCCCTATTGTTCTTTCTTGCTGTTTTGGTGCGGAAAGGAGCATAGCTTTGATGGCTCCTTTGCATTTGCTCTTATTCATTGTATAGACCTTCAGTATGTAAAAATAATAGTCTAATTCTCCCACAAAGTGGTGCCAAAACCCGGCTTGGAGTAGTGCTTGCGTCGCTAGCCGAGAATGTAGTCATTGTGTCAGCAGTTCATCAAAGCGTGCGGTCAATGTCAAGCAGCGAATCCTCGCCGTGGCCCTCGTGCCCCATCGGCGCGTGCTGTGATTCCGGCCTATCCACGGGAAGTCGTGCAGATTGACACTTTAGGGACTTGGTGGAGCTGCTCGATTTCACTGTGTTTTAGTGTGTGTAGATCTGTTCACCAAGTATGCTGAAGTCATCCCGTTACATCACCATGATGGTGCTAGTGTGGCACAAGCTGTTGTGTCTGTGTGCTGTCGCTAGGGACCGCCCTGTGTAATTCGATGTGATAATGGCACAGAGTTCGTTAACGTCATCATAGAAGCGCTATTCGCCAAGTTTGGTGTTACTGTGTGTCATGGAGCTGTTAGGCACCCTCAATCGCAGGGAGCAGCGGAGCGGTTCAACCGAACGCTACTCACCTTGAGTCGGAAAGTGCTTCGAGAGTCGAGAGATTGGCATACCGATCTCGATCTGCTGTTGCACCATTACCGCGTACGGCCGCATTCGGTAACTGGCATTTCACCTATGAAGGACATGTGTGGTTGGCAGCCGAGCAATGTGATCGAGAAATGCCTGAGCAGCCGAGCATGTCATCCAGTGCGTGGGTAGACCATTTGCAAGAACGTAGCGCGTAGATCCGTAACCATATTGAGATGGAATTGTCGAAGGAAGACCCTGTACCAAGCGATGACTTTGAATGTCCGTATAGTATCGACACCCCAGTCATGCTCCGTCACCCAACACAGCATCAGAAATGTCTTTCGCCGTATGAAAGTGGTTGGCTTGTTAAATCTGTTATTTCGCCATCTACTGTTGTTATTGTTCGTACAGATGGTTCTGGCGAAAAGGTTGTCAATACTGATCTATTGAAATATGATCCTGCTGCAGATGTGCGCGCTGATGATTTGGATGAATGTGTTGTGCTGCTGCCTTTGCATGAGCTGCTGTTGTGCAGCCTGGACCTGTTTCGCGCAACCCGTGCGTTTTCGCTGATATTTGCCTTTGCTCAGTTTCTTGGGCTGTTTTGCAGTTTTGCTTTTTTTTCAATCTTTTACTTTATTTTGTTGGTGTCCTTTATCGTGGCCACCTGGGGAGGGGTGAAGTAGAATGACCCTGCTTGATGCGTACAGTGTACTACTTCATGCTGCCCTTCTTATGTTGGACTGACTCGCGTCAGTACTCATGCATTCTTCTACATAATAACGCAGTCTCTTCTGCTGTACATGATTTAGCCTGTCGCAAGGCACTCGATCTCTTTTGTTCTTTCTTGCTGTTTTTGTGTGGAAAGGAGCGTAGTTTCGATGGGTCCTTCGCATTTTCTCTTATTCAGTGTACATGTACAAACCTTCAGTATGTAATAATAAGAATGGTCTAATTCTCCCACAATGTGCATGAGAAGCAAGGACATTTGGTTTCTGTATCAACGGGAGCAGAGTGACATTCCATTAGGAAAACCCCCATGTCTATTGCTACATGGGAAGAAAACATGCATTTGGGTGCCAGAAGTTTTGTCCCGTGTTTCACGTACTGTAGGCATCATGACGTCCCATTTCTCTCACTTACCCACCAGTTGTAGGGTATGTTTTTATAAATCTTACATTCTTCCACTCTTTCTTTATGGATACCCTGCTTGGTCTACCGTTACGAAGTCCCAACTGGAGAGGTTGGAAATTCTCAACCGCCGTATCCTCCGCATGATATTTAGAACTGGCCGCTACATTTCTAACTCGGACTTGTACAAAATTGCAACCTGTGCCCCCTGCAGAGTTATCTCGATGTTATAATGTGCTGCCTTGTTCACGCAATTTACCTTGGCATATTCCCCCCGCCCGTAAAGTCCGTCTCCCCCGAGATACCACATCTCTGTTTGTATCTTCTCCCTTTTTCAGCTCTTATACTAAATGGCTGGCGTTGCCCCTTCATGTCCGTCAGGCAAAGTCGCTTCCCTCATTTCGCAATCTTGCAAAGCAGCATTTCAACATTCCCATTCAATAGTCAATATACCTGTTTAGTCTCGGTCGTCTCACGTCGGCTGTACTGCTCCCTTTCCTCTGTTATTTACCATGGTATTGGTATTGGTATTGGTTACCATGGTATTGGTGCACCACCACACTTCTTATACAGTACTTTCTTTCTACGCCATGGCTGGCAAACGCCTCCTCCTCATCTATATTGGCACTGATTCATCTTTAGCCACTGGAAGGTGTAATAATAATAAGCTGGGTTCAGTGTTCATATTGCACATCACCTGTGTACAGCCATCGGCAGTACCCTGGTGACTACCCTGGTGACGGCATTTCAGACAACGCATACACAGTGAAAACTGTCTAAGGCGACCATTCAAGGGACCTTCAGAAATGTGGTCGTTGGGTGCAGGTGGTCACCTTATCCAGGGTCATTCGACTGAGAATAACATCTCTTGGTCCTGATTGCAGTGGTCCCCTTGAACAGTTGGTCGCCTTATCCGAGCGGTCGCCTTTGACATGTTTTGCTGTATTGACAAAGTACCAGAGAGACTCACCGTAGCCTGCAGACTTGCTGTTTTCCGAGGCGAAATACATTCCTTTGCCAACTCTGCCGCCGGAGTGTGGCATGATTCGCAGACCGGTCTTCAAGATTGCAGCTACCACGGCGACATTCGTGCCGTGCCACAAAAGGCGACGGTTCTTCAAGCCGTCATGAGCGGAGAACCGCTTTCCCTGCAGGAGAAAAGAAGCAACCCCAAACACGAGGATGATGGTTGTACAGTGCTGGTGGTGATACGAGCCATTCATCTAGCAGGCCAGCAACCAAGCCCTAACATGCTGTGAATGCGACTTGCTCCCACAGTCCTACTTCCTCTGTACCAGGGAATCGTAGCATCTACTACACTGCAGGAAGACAATACAGGCGACCGGAACGTGAAACGATGTGGGTTTCGGTCCCAGGGCGCTCTTCGTGCAGGGCCGATTTATAGGCGCTCGTATATGGCATTGTTGTACTGGACCGCGTTTGGGGTCAGCAGGTGAATGCTGTGATCATGAGTTGCATAGGCCACAGATCGCGTAGAACATATAAATCCGGGGTCGAAACGCATACCGTTTCAAGTTTTATGGTCTCGTGTTGATTCCCTAGATGCTATGACTCCCTGCTTTACACAGTCCAAGTTGACTATTGTTTAGTGGAGAATCCCTGAAAAGCTACCAGTGTAAAGCAAAAAGCCATACACGATAGACGACTAAGACCACACCAAGTACAACTCGACAAAATCAGCGGAGCACATTTTTGATAGCAATTCGCATCCATTGGAAGCGTTCCACTACATGTGTTTCCGTTCATTCTAGAATTCCCGATGAAGCATGCACTGTTCGATTACAGAAACGCTGTCATCAGAATGCACAGAATCCACTTCTGCCCTATCTGAAGTGAAGGCAGCTTTTCTAAATCTCCTGCGATAATTTGCGCAGTTGATGCGCTCCCCCTTGACCCAACGTGCGCTTGCTGTATGCACACAACTGATATTAGTATAACTAGTCGTGTTCGTGATCTCTTTCCACGGGTTTCTCAAGCAGATCGAGATAAAAAAATTCACATAGAATTCCAGTTGTTCATTGATGTGACCTGAATCTCCTCATTTTGATCATCCCAGAATTTTCACAGCTAGGTCCAGAATGCACAATCGAACGTGTCCACTGTTACGAAGCCGCGACCGTGCACCGAAGAAAAGTGCAGAAATTGAGCATACATGCACTACAAAGGTGGCATTGTCCGAGAGAATGTCAATGTTGCCACTTCTGGTACTGCAGAATCAGACAAGCCAGACTAGGAGCAGTCAAGACAACATCGCATTATGATCTGGGAAGTATCGCCCACCTCTTCCTCACGGTCCACTTCAAACACGTCCTGGATCTCCAGCTTCCTGTAGCCTTGTGTTGACTTCATGTAGGTCTCAAGCACCTGGATGTAAGAAACACAAAAAAGTTAGGCAGATTCTTGTTTCAGGTAAAACGGAACAAAGGATTTTTAGCCAAATGAAAAGAGTAAAGGAACAACCGAGATCTATCCAATCTATCCAGGACCGGTAGGTTTGACAGATTTGCATGGCATCCTCACATCTGAGGTAGAGGTAGGGTCTGACTCCCAACACACATCACCATATTATGTGCTATACATGTATGCATGTACTTCAGCACAGTTCTGGTTAGCAAAACCGGACCTCATGGATAGGTTAACACCCTCCACCAGAGTACAGCCCAGTGTTCGCAGGTCTGGGGGCTACACAGCGCCTGGCGTCAATGATGCATCTTAACAATGAAAAGTACTAATACCTTGTAGTTTGGATCGCTCTTTTTTAGAGAAGTCAGCCTGGCCTTGAGTGTACCATACTTCTCGTCCAGAGGATGTGGGAGTTCCGCAGCCTGTGGTCAAGGACAATTCATAACACATGAAGTTAAGAAACGCTACTAACAGCTTTTTTTTTCAGGAATTGTATTACAAGCAGCAGCAGTCAAGTGTAAAGGACGATTCACAATTCGACTTTTGTGACGCGACACGCGGTTTACGACAGTTGTGACAAGTAAACGCATGCCGCGAGCTGTCGCGTACAGTCGTAAGGTACCTGAAGAAAGTTCTACTTTTGCGACGTGCGACACGCGACATATACAGATGGAGTACAGTTCCCACTCTTGATTCACGTGCAGTGCACGTGCACAGTACATGCACTGCATAGGGATGTCGCAAAAGAGTTTAAAAAAAAAAGTGAATCATGTGTCGCGGTCGCAGCTCGTTGCAAGTGTCGCAAGTCACGTCACAAAAAAGTTGTATTGTGAATCAGCCTTAATGCGCAGGCATGTCTGCATGCCCACCCACCCGCACCCACACACAAACAGATACCATACGCATTGTCCAGGCGCATTGCAAACTCGGAGCCAGCAAGCAGGCATGACAGCAGACTAACTGAAGTGAAGGGTATTGCCACAAAATCCAGCTCACCTCCTCCTTCTTCACTTCGGTCTGCATTGTCTGCGCCATCTCAATGTCAGCCAGAACCTAACAGGAGACAGAGACAGAGAACACATTTTCAAGCGTCACATACGATTGCCACCCAGGGCCAGTGGAGGGATGCAGAGCAGCACAGTGTACACAGCGTGATCAATGGATATCAGGAATCTGTGTTGCAACTCCGAGTGTCACGTATTCAACTGATAGCTCCAAGATTACGTACAAACGTGTATCAGTTTTAATTTCTCTTTTCTTACCATCAACATGTCCATCTTGGCCTGTAGCACTACCTGGTTGGAAATCACTGGTGGACGTTGACGGCCAAAGTCATGAGGAACTCTCGTGTAGAAGAGAGAGGAGAGATCCTGCAGCGACTCCGACATCTTCTCGCCATTGAGTTTCTTCTCGATCTTTTCCAGCACCTGCCAATGCATAGCACACCCATTGCAAGCACACATGTTAGCATCACATCTCGTAAAGCTGTATAATGGATGTACATGTCGCGAACATGCGAGAGTAGTATTTAGATGACTCCAGATAGTTTCTTTGAAATTTTGATATCAGCGCTAGTTTATCCGTAGTATCCTTTGATTCCAGGATGTTATGCTAGATTTATTATGTAAATCGCAACCTTTGCGATTTTATCCTTTTTTGGGACGCAGCCTGCTCCCTTTTAGGCATGCGTGGTCCTTTTTTCTGTAAGTTAGTTTTGAAGGTTGATTGACGACATAAATTTGGTGCCGAAACCCGGGAACCATGAGTGTCTCGCCGTCGGCGAAGGTCAAGAAGCTCCTGCTGACATCGCAGTTGAAAGCGCTGGAGCAGTGTGACCAAGAGGCCGATCAGCTGTTGGCAAAAACACTACTCGATGATGAGACCCTTCGCGACGCAGAGTATGCAACTCTCGGTGAGTTCATCCACCGATTCGAAACAACGATTACGAAAGGTCAAGAGTTATTCGAAGAAATGGCTCAAATTCATTTCATCAGAGAACAGCTCCCAATCAAGTTCACCTACACTTGCCTATGATCCGATTCAACATGTGTCCTTGGCTGGCTACAATCTCCTGCCAAGAAGCAGCCCGTGTTTGTCGACAACCGCCTTGCAGAAATCCGATCAGAACCAGATGTTGTCTTCCGACACATCCAGTCGAAGGAGAATCCCGCAGATTTGCCATCAAGCGGCAGCTCGGCATCGACAACTGACCACGAGCTCTTGTGGCATGGTCCCTCTAGGCTTCTGAAACCAAACAACGTCTCTTCAGAGCCTTCTGTTCTTGTTCACGGGGACGGTCCTGCGGAGGACAGCCACCCACTTTTCAACACCAGCTGGAATTGATCCCAATCAGTATTCGTCATTTACGAAGTTGTTGCGGGTGACAGCATATGTTCAGCGCTTTATTAAATGTGCTCGTGCGAAATCTACTTGCCCTGCACCACTTACAGTGGCAGAGATCAAAGAAGCCGAAATCAAATGGTTAAGTTACGCTCAACACGACGACTTCGGCGATATCTTTCAGGCATTGACTAATGGAAAGTCGAATGATATGATCAAAAAGCATGGCCTCGTTCAAGATAAGGATTGCATTCTTCGGTACAACGGCCGAATGCGGAATGTGTCACTGTCAGCTGAGGCACTGCAACCGATACTTCTGTCGGGAAGAAGTCCAGTGAGCAAACTAATCGGTGCTGAGGTGCATCGGAAATTACTTCACGGTGCCACTAACGCAACATTTGTGGCAATCCGTCAACAGTACTGGATAACTTGTGGACGGGAGACTGTGAAACGTGTTCTTGCGCAATGCAGAATGTGCAAACGATTCGACGGTGGTCCATTCGCCATGCCCACCATGCCGCAGTACCCAAAAGAGAAAGTCACTGGAGGGTCTGCACCCTTTACCACTACCGGAGTCGATTTCTTTGTTCCTGTCATAGTAAAGAACGACATCGGATCAGTGAAGACGTGGGTGGTACTTTTTACGTGTCTAACAACGCGTGCCGTGCACTTAGAAGCAGTCAGAGACATGACAACTTGCACATTCCTAATGGCATACCGCCGATTCATTGCTCGTCGTGGCACGCCAGTGAAAATCATAAGCGACAATGGAAAGCAGTTCAAACTGGCAAGCACCATCTTGGACAATGTGTGGCACGCAATTGGTGAATGTCCTGACGTGGTGAATTACCTTACTTCGAATGGCACTACATGGTCGTTTATCACTGAGCTAGCTCCGTGGATGGGTGGATTTTACGAGCGAATGGTGCAAACAGTCAAGCGATCTCTACGGAAGTCCATCGGTCGTTCTCTCCTCTCACATTGTGAATGTGAAACGCTGCTGATTGAGGTCGAGGCGGTCGTGAATGCCAGGCCAATGACTTACGTCAGTGGTGACCCCGCACTACTCGTGATTACTCCGGCCCATTTCCTCCGGCTGAATCCAAATATTGGTTTTCCGAGGGTGAATGATGATGATACCAATAATCCATAGTTTAATCTGCACCGGAGTCCAACTGATGTGCTTCTAGCCCAGCTGAGACAAGGCCAGACCAAGGTAGAGCGATTCTGGAGCATTTGGAGAGATGAATACTTGGCTACCCTTCGCGAGCGTGGCGACAACCAACTCCGCCAACGGAGAGTCAGAGATCGCAGCCAGCCGGTACTCGGCGATGTCGTGATCATCAAGGATGAACATCTTCCCAGAGCTGCGTGGTCACTTGGGTGAATGAGAGAAGTACATCACAGTGCTGACGAGGAAATTTGTTCAGTGTCAGTCACAACACCCAATAGAATCCTCAAACGTCCTCTATGTTTGGTATACCCAACGGAATGTTCAATGGCTAATGGTGATGCTACGTCAACGAATGAAGCTGACACTACGTCGCAGATTGAAGCTGACGCTACTGCGAAGTCTGGTGAGGGAGTCGCTCAACCAGCTACAGCTGCAGGTACAGCTACAGGTTCGAGAAGCAGAAGACTAGCAAGATCATCAGCGCTAGCATCGTGCGCTACACTACAACAGCATATTCAAGATGGCAGTGTATGAATGAGTAAGAAGGTAGTATTAAATTGAGTTGAAAGCATGCAGCTGGATTGTGTTGTGATCAGTTCAGTACCGACGGCATCTCGTCCTGCTGTGGCTATAGTGGACAGTACGCTATCATTCCCACTGTAATAATATTCACTATTCACCACATACATACATGTAATACTTGACTTGCATTTCTGATTTGTCGATGAATCTCCTGCTTGGCTGAGAATGCAAGAATCAATAATTATATTGTTGCTGTTCTACATGTATTCATAGGTTGTACTAAACTTCTAAAACAGAGAGGCTGTCCAAGAGAGTGCTCAATACCGAGTGTTTACTCAGAGTTTCTGATGATCGCTTAGTGCGTGAAACTCTGAGTAAAAACACTTCCTCTGTCCCCCTATTGGTTGTACATGTACTAAACTTCTGTGGACATACATGGCATGTGTCATAACATAGATATTGCTGTTGTGTTGACGACAGTAGAACAGGAATGACTTTGAAATAATGCTCTCCCTGAAATTATATTATTGTTTTTTGTTTCACTCATTATCTTTCTTGCCTATTTGCGGGAGTGTCGCGAACATGCGAGAGTAGTATTTAGATGACTCTAGATAGTTTCTGTGAAATTTTGATATCAGCGCTAGTTTATCCGTAGTATCCTTTGATTCCAGGATGTTATGCTAGATTTATTATGTAAATCGCAACCTTTGCGATTTTATCCTTTTTTGGGCGCAGCCTGCTCCCTTTTAGACATGCGTGGTCCTTTTTTTCTGTAAGTTAGTTTTGAAGGTTGCTCTTGAAGTACTCTCATGGATTATTAAGTTTGTCTTCGAGAAAGGACAAAGGTTTAGAAGAATGCAATCTCATGGAAAGTTTATGGTGTGTCCCTTTAGAGTTGAGAATGCATGCAACCAGTAAGATGATCCTTTTATGTTGATTGACGACAGTACATGTATTACTAATACTATTGCAGCCCCCCCCCCCACAAGCACATACTCATGAACTACAACAGAGGCTAAGACACAGCAGAAAATAGCACTGCCTCTCAAAGCATACAAGACAGCAAACATGCTCAAGAAGCCGAGCACTAGTATGCTTCACCTCAAATCCATGCAGAACCTGAGTCTTGCTCAGCTTGCCAAGAGGTAGCTTTTTCGTATCTGCACGCAACGGAACGCAAAGAAAGCAATGCCATCACATCACATCAAATCAAATGTTTGCCTCCTAGGAGAAATGATCAGAATTGAAGAACAGAAAGGATCGCCAGAGCATACCAAGTGACTTCACCACATATCATAGTCCACTTCTTGCAGCCTTCAACAGCTTTGAGCAAACCCAATCCACTCACCGAGTGCATTCATATCTTTACTTCAATCCTACAAAAAACCCATGTTTTAGGGTAACTATGGTGAAGTGAAAAGACAGCAGGGAAGTGTGTACTCTGCTCACTCGACTCAAGGTGACTCTGACAAGCATGTGTTGTCAGTGCAACAATTCACTTCTAAACTATCAGTACACTCATTCAATCAGAATGGAACATTGCAGAGTAAACAAGACGTTGGTCAAATGCAAAAGTCGGCTTTTCTGGTTAGGCATGACACAAGCGGCCCGGCACTTTGTCTGTTACTGCCTCGTACGCGAATGCTCGTCAAACAAGGTAGCATCCGGCATGGCAAAGCTAGTTAATATGACAACTGGCTTTCCATTTGAGCGTGTCAGCATTGCCATTGCCGGCTATTGTCTATCAAGAAGACACAGACAATGCCCCATCGTCCTCATGGCAATGGACCCAGTGGAAAGGGTAAACCAAAGTGCCATCCATCTCGCGCGGTCAAGTGTGCAAAGTAACCATTCAACATAGGATATCATCCTTCCGCAGGTTTCACTTATTTACCGGTCTTCTGTTCACCGCTCAACTGGTTACACTCCGTCTATGATGCTGTACGAGCAGGAACTGTGACTTCTTGCCGATGTAGTCTTTGGTTTGGCTCAACATCAGGCCTCTTACCGTCCACATTTGCTGCCAAGGTAGTTGATCGGCGCAGCTATGTGCTATTCATGCCCAGGCCCGGGAGTGGGATCAGGTGAGCCTTTGTCCTTTCCTTTCCTATACTGTAATAGCCATTATTCTAACGAGGCGCATATATAACGATTTCCCGAAATTGACTGGTTTACGTGTACCAAAGGTAACGATTCTCACTCATTCTCAGCGCTCAATAGGACAGTATACTGGTATACGTATCGATTTCTGTATAACGATTTCTATTTTAACGACAGATTTCTCCTCGTTAACTCGTTAGAGTTAGCACTTCGTTATACAGGTATATGGCTTTTACAGTACATTAATCATTGGCTCTCCATCCGAGACTATTAATTTTGTACTTCATCGGTTTATCCTCGAAGCATGCAAGCTCTAATTTCCTCTATTCTATTTCTCATGTTGACATAGGGACATGACAGAAATTGGGAGGGGAGTTATGTTGTAAGTCCATATTTGGATAATGCCAGTGAGTGTACACATTTGACCCTCAATAAGATAATCATAGTGTACATACACTGTGAATATCCAAATACGGACTTACAATAGATGCACAGAAGACTCCCACCACCACGCGCCATCAGTTAGCATGGACGGTTTGCAGACACGACCAAAAACAAGACCCTGCTCTTAGAAAGTCTTACCAATTTCTAGACCCTTCATGGCTTCTTTGAACATGTCCTCGTCAAAGATGAATTTGATCAGTTTCTGCGTGGAATCGTCAAGCTTGCATGCTGCGGTCTTCTTTGTTGCAATCGGACCGTCTGTCTGATCCATGGAGGCGAGACGGCCAGCCTGAGCACAAGCAGCAGTAGTAGAACAACACAGCGACAGACATTTCAATAAATAAAATTAAATACTAGGGAGTTTTCGAACATTGTTGAAAGTGTACAGAAACGAGAACAATCGCATGGACCGCGTTTCTGCCTAAGGATGGTCATGTGTTTGCTTTGCACCGTGTTCGACTTGGGTGAGTCTGATCAACTCACACACACTGTTTAGGAGCTCCATATGCACATTGATCCTTAAGAGTGGTGGAGTTCCTATGGATGTGGTAGGGTCAGTCCGACTCACACAACAGTCATGAAATGTAAACTGCGAAGACGCGTATGTCAGGAGTCAAAACCTTTCTGGTCTGCTACGCATTCACCACGCGACAAAGCAATCAAGTGTGTATCTATGAACCCGGCACTCATTTTGCCATGGCACTTCTATCGGTTTTATCAACGCGCAGGATGACCGATACTGGTTGTAGGTACAGATTCTACTAAAGAATGATCATGGCGAGGGCATTGAGCTGGCAGCTCTCTCGTATATCAGGTGCTGTGTGAAGATCGCTTGCGAGTGAAACTCTGAGTCACAGCAATTCCAATGTAGGCTCCCCCAAAGGCTGAAATGTTTCGAACTTTAGAGCCAACAATCATAAAATTGTATAGATTCACAGGGTACCTGAGCAAAACGTGGCACGGTCTATACCATACGCCATTGTGACTGTAACGTGTCCTACACCCCCGGCATGTCATCATATTCAAAGTATGCAGGCGTGTAGCCCGCATGGGGAACAGGTGCAGGGGGAGGGTGGTTCGACCTAAGTTCAGCATGCAAGTGCACATAATGACCATGAATGACATACATCAGCCTTCCTACACACATGCGACCGTGTACCCCCCCCCCCCCCCCCCTAAAAGGGGGACCAGCTACGCTCCTGGTAAGTACCTGGTCGTCATCGCTGTCTTCCTCCATCTCCAGCATGGTGTACTTTCCAGCCTTGGGGACAAACTTCTCCCGGTTCTTCCATTGGTTGCTGGTCTTGGAGCTAAACTTCTTGCAAAACTCCTTCTCAGCATCGTCCAGTCCGCTGAATGGGCCAAGATACTTCTGGTCGCCACGCTCACCCTGCAGAGTAGCACGCCATCCAAAACCAGATCCAAGAAAGTGAAAGGATACGCAGCCACTGTGCTGCAGATAGATGCTGAACCTTGTTGCAACAGTCTTGTACCCAAAATATGCAACATCAAAAAAGAATCAAATGGAGGAAGACGGTCCAATGGAAGGTGTTCGAGTGCCAGTTTGAATGAGAGATAGACTTACATAGGATAAATGCCTCGGGAATAAAACAAGTTATCAGGCCACCCAGAATTAATTCGTTGTTTCGGGTCACCCGACCGACCATCTTTTTTCACCCGACCGCAAAATGTTTTTTTTTATAGTGCATGCAAATGTACATGTACATTACTAGACTATGTACACACGCAACCCTAAGAATAGCAGTCCCGACATCGACCTCAGAAGCAGCCAAAAGACAGGATGCAGCGCTTGGTGACGACGTTGTCTTCTATCTCCGATCGGTAATCGGTCCTGAAACAGTATCAGCTCCGCCACCGCGTCGCTCATTGGCAGAAGTTTTCAAGGTGAGAGCTGCTCGTCAGACTCGTTTGCCAGCGAGGCCAAGATCTTGTCCTGGAGGGGACCTGGATCTGATGGGACAATGGCTGCACTGGATCGTCTACAGTCAGATTTGATCGACTGGCTTGATGGACAGAAGCTATTCGATATGCACAATTGTACATGTATGCACATGGCCGTTACCAAAATAAAAAATAAATAAATAAATAAACCCGACCGTACGACCCTGGTATACGGAAGAGTGAAGTGACCCGAAACAACGAATTAATTCTAGGTGGCCTAAAAACGAAATAACGGGTTTTATATATACTATAAAGAAGAGGCACCTGTGACGTGTGGTTGTCTGTGTGTTACGCAGAAGCGCTGCGGAGCAGCGCTGCCCTGAGCACGCGAAGCGTGCGAACAGTGTAGCTAGCGGCCGCAGAAGCACTGAGCACGCGAAGCGTGCGAATCGTGTAGCCACCACCACGTGCTGAGCACGTGTGCTGTTCATGTACTTGCTTCACCCGCATGCCACGTTCGGCCAGGCAACGCTGGCCGGGTGCTGCTAGTTCCCTATAAAATCTCAGCCTCTGCATTTATCCTATACAAAACACGTGTAGATCTACACCCCACCCGGACCCCATCCAAAAAAAGTCGTTTGATTATTTTCGCCCGTGCACAATCATGTTGCATGCCTGGGCCAAATTTCATTCAGACTTTATTTGAAGGATTCTCCAAAAGTAAATGGATCCTTATCAAGGGAGTTTCCTGGAAGGGTGGGTGAGATTCAAGGGGAGTGAAAAGGGACAAGGGAAAAGACTTAGCAGAAACACTACTCAAGAATAGAGAGGTTCCGCATAACGTAATTGCGTTAGTAAAAAAACGTAGTCGATCTACGGATAAGTCTTACGTAAACTGCATGCGCATCTGTGTTCCGCCATACGGAGTTTTGAAATCACGTAGCTGCCCTTGGCAACTCCCAACGCGGCAGTGTACGACCAGATCGACCTGGGGAGAGAGTCATAAATTTGTACCCCAATCCACTTACGGACCAGGTACGTTATCAGAGCCCGGTCTACGTACTTTACGTAGACAACTTTCCGTAAGTGGAGTGCAAACTCGCGAATTCACGGGTTTTTTCCGCCCACTAACGTAAAGTTGCTCAACTTTACGTAGTGTGGAACCTCTTTAATACCACCAGGTAAAACCCACAGGGGAGAAACAGAATATATTACAACACGTATGAGCACCAACCGGAAACCGACTCTACGATCAAGTTGTGACTGACCCTGTCGAACGCCTTGGAGAAATCCAGGAAAAGCTGATCGCAAGGTCACTTCGTGTCAAGAGCGCAGGAAACCGTGGTTGAATTGCAAACAGCCCCAGTGATCGGAGTTCAGTGTTATTTTGAAGCCAGGATCGAGTGATAGTATGCAACGTCCACTTGCACTTCTAGCTAGCTGTAGCTGTATGGTTGTGCAGTTTTTTCACACTGCTTACAATTTCAGTGCAACACATAATACTCACAACCAAACCAATACCCAAAGCATCGTACCACACACCTCCACATTTTTCATGTCATGCCAGTGGCCAACAGCAGCTTTATGTTGCCTGATGATTGTACTGTAATGAGCATGAAACTCAAACGGTTGCAACCAACTTGTAGCCCTGTTCCACTGTTTTACTGCGTACCTGTACGTGCAATTTTTCAAATACAAATGGCGTTGAAACCGTCTACTACTGTATGTATGGAGTGCTTCAAGAATATTATTTCGATTGCCCCTCCCCCCTCAAAGGTGGACCAACTACCGTACATGCCCGTGATAAGGCTCTGGGCGAAAAGCCGAAAATGTTGTGTCTCTAACCAAGAGACTGTGGGTTCACACGTAGAGTTTACATACAAGTTTATTCTACGGTTGCAAAGCAATAAGAAGCGTTGAGGTATGATTGTGCTAGAGGATATAGGAGTTGTATCCCGGGTGCGGGATGCGTTGGGTGTTGGGTGGCAGTACAATGAATTGCTATAGAGAGTTCATGCCTAAGCGGTTGTGGTTTTAGGGTGGATCAATAGTGCTTGCAATTAGATGAATACATGTCTGGTACATACACTACAGAAAACGTTAGTGAAGGTCCAGAACATGGGCGTCAATTTGGGCCTGGGCGCTAATGTCGTCCGAGCGTTATTTCAGATACATGTACTGTAAAATTTCGCTGGCGATTTAATTTCGCTGGTTTCGCCATTTGGTACCAACCGGCCAAAGTAAATCGCAGGTCAAAGTTTGTCATAGAGGCATAAGATGCTTGATTGAACGCCAATTGGCCAAAGTTTGATCACGGCCAAAAGTTTCATTTCGAAATCGGCCAAAATTTGTTGATTTGCAGTAAGTGAAGCCAGACTGATTTTACATCAAGCCGTACTGCCGTATGTACGTACAAGGTTAGCACAGTGTACTGTACCTTAAGTTATACTACAGTACCGTACATGTGGAACTGTGCATGCACTGCACTGTGGACCTGTGCTTTTGCCCATGGGCGTTAACACGGAAGTGGGCTAGAAAACGGGACAAGAGTGTTGACACTGGGCACCTGGCCTTGGGCGTACACACGGGTAGTGGGCTTTATACTGGGTGGGCGTTAACACGGGATTTTACGATATGCCACTGGGGAGCATACGAGGGGTTACCAAATTCCGTTCGGAAATTTGTTCGATATATACGAACGGTCCCGGAATCCCTTGCTTCCATAATTAGACCAGGCAGCAGTAATGCCTGCGCACAAATCAACATATCGCTCTTACCACTCTTCCCCAGCGCGTGAAGACATTGTACCGGACAACAAAACCGCCGGTACTCTTCAGAAGTTGGATGACGTAGTACTTATTATTGTTGTGGCCGATGTTCGTCTGGTTAAGCATACAAGCGAAGTCATCGACAACTTCCCAGCTGCCAAAGACTTGCGGGTCCACTTTCGGACTGCGCTTCTTCTTCTTTTTCGCTGCACCATCCGTTACAGATTTCAGTGAAGCAACGGCTTTGCTGGCAGCACTTTCGGGCTTGGCTTCAGGTTCAGCTTTCACCGCCTTCTTCTTGGGTTCCTTCTTGGCCTTCTTCGCTGGTGGCGCGCTGGTGTCAGTAGCAGCTGCGCTCGATGCAGCACCCTCAAGCCGAGAGACCAACTCAGCTTTTTTTCCGGACACGGGCAGTTTTTTCTCAGCGAGAGCCTGTTTTAATTGGGGCAAGGTCATTTTCGCATAATCGGGAGTTTCTGGCTCGGCAGATGCCTGCGCTGCGGCCTTTCTCTTCGGCATGGCTGTTGGTGGGGAGCCGAGGAAGACAATCAATCTAGATGGGCGGAGAGGAGAAGCCGAAGCGATGCACAGAAGCAAAGTGGGCCGCGAACCACGTGTTTAGCTCTTTTATAATCGGCATCTGCTTTATATTTTACTGATCACGTCAAACTAACTACCAGTACGACATGAGCCCGCCAAGATTTTGGACAGGTAGGAGTCACGAAAGACTCAGAAGCAAGTACCTAATCCATCAAGCTCGTGAGTAATAGTTAGGTCTATTCGGACAAGTCCTGTCCAGCAAAGGCAAGCTTCGTCTTGTTTGGCCGTGTTGGAGTTTGTTGTTTGAATGCTCGGCCGCCAAGGCGCCACGCGGCACGCGCCATGCACTGTGTTGCCACACCTCTAAATAAAAAACTACATGTACATAACCCCCGGCTCTATGCATCTACAGTTGTAGCTAGAGCTACACCGAATGACGTAGCCGTTGTTAGCTTGATCAAAGACGTCATTGATTCGCTTTCTGAAAAAAAATAATAATAATCATTTTTCACTTGATCTGGATCCGCGCCATTTTTTCTTCCTTGCCTTTACCATGTTTACTTCGTCATTTTGAAGCTTTGAGCATGAGTTTTGAAGACATCATACACGTACACGTAGTCTAGCAGACCGGTCTACACGTCCACACACACACAATGTACGTGCACAGCCGGCGGGAGAGAAAAATGATTTCACAGCAATGCATTGAACAGAGCTAGAGACGGCAACCTGAATATTCAAGCCTTCTCCACTCCATGCTGCCCTCGGCGAGTGAAGTGATTTGTTTTCGATTCGGACATTCTTTGGCGATAGTGCTTGTGGCTTGGTTTCATAGGTGAAAGATAAAAAAATAAGTCTGAGCTCTGATCCCTTTCTTGCCAATCTTGGATCCTGGTAACTCACCTTGGTGACGTGCACCAAGGCGACGACAACACGAGTGCAGGTGGTGAGGATCCTTGTTGGCAGGGTTACTGGTGAGTCCCGAAGGTCTTTCGTTGCTGTTCTCTCCTTCTTGTTTCACCGAAGACGAACTATCGATTGTGTCATGCAGGCCCATGCATGATGTCTTTGTAGTTGTGCTTAGGATTTGCGAAATAAGTTGATAGCAAAATTTGACTTCCTTGTCTTTGACTTCGTTGTCTTACGGAATCATGCATGCGTGGTGCAGCAATGTAAATGCTTGTGTCGTTCGTTGCTATGGCTTGGCGTTATGACGCTGAAGTCGTAATGATTCTCTGCAGCTCTGCTTTCCTTCTGCAGGGGCCACATGCACAGAGAAGATTTACAACGATTTCTGTTACTTTGAGGATGCAGGTCCTATCCTCGATCTCCAGGCTCAGAGAAAATGCTGCAAAAAAAACAAGTGCCCGTGTCCTTCGCTGTAGCTAACTGTCTGACTGCCTGTGCTCGCACGTGTCATGCTTCAGATAACCTACTTGATTCGAATGATGTTTTGTGATTTGTTGTGCAGCCTTGCATTGCAGTAAGCCTATCGTCCCTGAACGGCGTGAGGCTCGCCTGTCACCTGCATTGCTGCGGGAGATGGACACCGATGCTAGCCCTACTGCAACTGCGGAAAGCGGTGCAGGGCTGATTTCTGGAGAGCAGCAGCAGCAGTCGGCCGATTTCGCAATGGACGACAAAACTGTGGTGATTATCAACATTGACCCTGCTTCTGGTGCATCTGAACCTGCTGTCAGTGTTGCTGCTAATGTTGCGGGAGATGGTACTGGTGAAGAAGTGGTACAGACTGCTGTAGCTACGTCTGCCATGGATGGAGTGGATCAAGCAGAAGTCACGATTTACCCTCAACAATTGTACGTACTGTCCATAATATGTTGTGTTCTGTCAATCTATTACAATTGTACATATTCCTGGAGGAGCTACAAAGAGTGCACAGGGATGAATTTACTGTCATATTTTTGCATAGCAGTTTCTGCTATACGAAATCACAATTGTGTAGCAGTGTTTGATTTTGATTAGCATTTTTCTTTGAAGGTTGAGTATTTACCACATTGTCCTTCTTGAGAGTGATGCCTGAAAGCCCATTTGCAGAAAAACGACTGAAGCATACATGTACATGTGCACCCAGATTGAGAGTACCTGCACCACATACACTGCACACTCTGCACTTTACTTGACAGCGCAGGCTAGGCATGGATAGCCTGTATGTATTGCAATTTTCTGCGAATCACGGTGACTATCGAGTAGCAGTAGATCGATTTTGCATCGCAAACTGCGATTCGATACAGGATAAATTCATCCCTGGTGCATAAACAGTTTGTGGACAGACTCTATGCACAATCAATGGTATTCGTGACTTTCCTGTGCCCAAAGTCATACTGTAGAAATCACTGCATATCGTATCATTTGAGAAATGGGTGTTACTAACATTCTTGTGCCAAGTACAGTCAAACCTCTTTAGGACGAACTCCAAGGGACGGATGGTATTTGTTCGTAATAACGGGAGTTCTTCTTATCCATATTTTATACCCAGTGAATACACAGTGATTTATCCAACAGAGCTATGAACACTAGTTCTTCTAAAGCGAAAGTTTGTCTTATCAGTGTTCTTCTTAACGAGGTTTCACTGTATGTAGGATTCCCAAGCACCATAGCAGGCTCAGTGGAAAAAATTAGAGTTTGTTCTGTACAAGATCCAGTATTTGCCCATTCATACAGAATTCGACTTGGCATACATGTACTGTGTCCACGTGGGAGATACGTGTAGCTCTATCACTGAGACTGAACACAATTCCACCAGTTCCTTCCCAGAACTCAAGAGCAGTTACCATGAAAATGGTGGAATGGCTGAAACTTTCCGCTGATATTTTCCTGGCGGAAATTTCGCAACAAAGTGAGTTGCAGAAACCCCTCTTTATCCGTTGGTTCAACTCACTTGGTTCAATGAAGACGAGCAATCCCATCTTGTGTGTGTGTGTGTGTGTGTGTGGAAATCAATTATGGTCGCACACGTCTTCTCTTTCTCATTCTCCTACCTCTTCTTTCATTCTCCTGGGTGGTTGCCAACAGCCAGTGTATGACGGAGTATGTGGTGTGGCATGTGTGTAAAAAAAAGAAAAAAAGATGAAAATAGGGATTCGCTGGCCAGAAAAAGCCACTTCAATCAGCTGTGTGGTGGATACCAGGCTAAAAATTAGCGGCGGTCAATTCATCAGCCTTGCAAGCTTGCAATGGTGTAATCTCAGCACAAGTTGCTATGTCTAACATTGCTGTTCGCTATCATCGCTTCCGCGATGGGCAGGTCTGAGGTGTGTGTGTGTTGGAGATGTGCCCCTGGCACTGAAAATGCGTCGACTCCGCTGGTCAGGCCAGGTTGCTCGAATGGATGACTCCCGAAAGCCAAAGTGTATCCTCTTCGGGGAACTGAACAAGACCCGGCCACGCCATGGGCCGCGGTAGCGAGACAATGTGTCCGACATGAAAGACTGCCAGGTAGTGGATTGGTACGACCTCGCCCAGGATCGCAAAGAGTGGAGAACAGCATGCAGCACCATTCCTCCTACTGAGCCCGTCACCTTAGACTTCGTTTGCACTTGTGGAAAGCGCTGTCGCCGTCGCCAGGACTTGACTCGCCACGATCGCTTCTGCTCGTGACTTGAACACTGTTGATCCCTTCGGGACCTGCGATCATCTCCGGATGGGCATATTGTATTGTGTGTGTGTGTGTGTGTGTGTGTGTACTCTTGTGTACTCTTGTGTAATCAATGGGTCTAGTGAAGCTGTTATCAGATCACTCTGACTTAGCCACCCACAATAGCATCAAGTAGTGACTTCACTGTGGCCAGAGGGTAATGAAGTTGGATCCCTAAACTGATACCTTGATGGCGTCAATCCTTTTTCTGTACCTTGTCCTCACTTACTGTGGTGTGGTGAGCCCATAAGTGGGATCATTTCTAAGTCCACCCAGGGTTTGGGGTGTTATATCTTGCACCAGAAGGGTTCGACTTGGTTGTAGCCCAAGATTGTAACCAGATCCTCCCAGGGATAATGGAAAGCTGTGCCCCAGTATCTGCTTCCATAGTGACCTATTATGACTCTGTCTGTATTTGTATTTTGGTTTATATCTCTTGACTTTTGCAGGGCAACGGACGGATCAACATTTGTGTATTCTTCTGAGAATAATTTCTCAGCAAACATGTTTGACCCTCAGTCTACTGCACAGTCTACAGATGAAATCGCATCCACTACTGTAGCTCTTCCCAACGAGGATAGCCAGCGGATTGTGCCAGTTGCGGTCACGACCACCGCAGTCGGCGAAGCTGCTGCCACGTCTGCAGCGGGACAGATGTCCACTCACGCTGGCATTCCCAGCAGTATTGCGCCTGTGACCGTGTCACTAGCAGCTGCCAGCACGGACGTGATGGCCACAACGACGGCGGAGCAGCACGGCCATGCCACAATGTCCAACATCGCCATCACCAATGCGCAAATAGTCACAGCACGTGCATGTCCAGCAACGGTCAGTGCTGTGGGATTTGTAATGGACTAGTTTGTCCTGTGTGTGTGTGTCGTTTTTATTATTATTTTTTATGAACGTGTCATTGTCAATTCTAGCGCTAGCACTTGTTGACTCGATAGTGAATACTACACTGATCTAACTTGCCATTCCAGCTTGGAAGACATAGCCACATGGCTTATTATAAAGTTATTTTCATCTTTTTTAAACCTTTTGAGCACGCATGGCGTACTATTACGTCGTGATCGTACAAACGTGATTTGCATGAACCGCGTGAGTTCAAACTATCGTAACTCATGACCGAAACATGTCTCTGCAAGAGAAAACTCTCAGCGTGCGATAGAAACAATCGCTGAAGCGATACGACCCCGGGTTGTTGAGATATGCAACTCGACACGGAAAATTCAAATCGAAAATTTTTGGCGTACTCTGCAGAACGTGTATTTTTCCATTTTCGATCATTCTTGCGCTACCTGCTGCCATGGAAACTAGATTCAAATGATGGTAGCGGATCTTGGGAGTCCTAAAAAAACTGGCCTTGGTCGTCGAGCGCGTGCGTGAAGTTTGCCAGACTGTATCATGGGCTTTGGGTGTCGCTCCGAGCTGAGCTTGGAACTATTTTTGTTCCTCGCCTCAACTGGCTCAAGCCCTTTGCAGGAAGCTCAAGATCGTGGAATTCGTCCAAGGGAAGGTAAAGTTGTCGATCCTTGAACAGCTACTACTTTCATAGGAAAAACGATACTTTTGCAGGTGTTGCCGTGGGGCGGCATTCAGGTAGCGTCGTGCTCAAAAGGTTAAAGAGAAGTGATAGGGAACCACACACATGGGTTACTCAAATTCTGCGTAGTATCTACTATTAAAAGGTGTTTCTACTACTACTTGTACAGGTAACTTTGCTAGAATCTTGAATCGTGATTCCTGTTCCCATTGGTTACATTTTTCCCTTGTTGCTGTGTAGGTCCAATGGCTAATCGAAAACTTTGAAACAGCAGATGGGATCAGCTTACCGCGCAGCACTCTGTATCACTTCTACCTACGCCATTGCTCCAGCAGTAAAGTGGATGCTGTGAATGCGGCGAGCTTCGGTAAACTCATTCGCTCTGTCTTTCTAGGCTTACGTACCAGGCGTCTTGGAACTCGGTAAGACTTGCTCTTGATCCATAGTCCTATGCAAGGGTTGAACGAAACGTTTTCTAGTCTCCATAAAGTTTACGTTCCATCTTCATTTCAATTAGAAGTATGCAAGCCTCCCGATGATTACTTGTGCAAGGACCTCCGAGGTTTAACTAAAGGTATTTCCACTTAACATCTGTGTGTAAGCAATGCATGCAGGCAGGCAGGCACCGGATCAAGGGTTTTGTTTGCACTTGTGTTCTTTGTGTTCAGGGGCAATTCAAAATACCATTACTATGGCATTCGAATAAAGCCAACGTCATCGCTGGCGGATCTTCCTCTAGAGGATTATAACCAGCAGAGTCAGCGCAGGTATGTTGTGTGTGTGTGTGTGTGTATGTGTGTGTGTGTCTTACTGATGTGTCGTACTGATGTGTCAGCACTGCAAACCATGTCGACTATGTAGTAACATAATAATATTTTCAGTGGTTGCGGCGATGATTGCTATGGTGGTGTGGATGATGGTGGTGGTGGTGGTGGTGGTGGTGGTGGTCATGTTCCACGTGTTTTAGCTGGGTAAATGTACATTACTCTGATGTACAGATACGGCAACACTGTGCACATTGCGGTACTGCTTGTGTGTGTGTGTGTGTGCTCGCGCGCGCGCGTGCATGTGTGTGTGTGTGTGCCCGGCTGTTTATTTGTGCGTTTTGACTGCTTTAGTAGCACTCGATATCGTACTCCATCCAAGGACGATGGCTTTATATCGCAGTCCTTTGCGACCCCGTCTGTCATAGCTACTCCGTCAAGTACGGGCAAGCTTAACCCGTTGCGCCATGAGCCGCATCCCGTTGTCCCAATGATACAGCCGACAGAGCAACAGCAAGAACAATTCCAACAATTCCTAGCACTGTCCCTCACGCTACCCACGCTGCCTGAGCTCTCGTTGGATACGGATTCCTTGCCAGGTTGGTTTGCCCTGCGCCCCTGCCTAATGTTAGCATACTGCATTGGAAGATCAAGTTCCTCTGCCATTTCCATTTCCAACAATACATGCACATTGCGTTGAGAGTAAAGCTCATGTTGGAGCGGATTCACATTACAGGTCTACTCTCTATATAACGTAATCTCTGGGACCACGCAAACATTATGTTATATCGAGAGTTATGTTATGTAGAAAACCGTGTGTAAAATACAAGATGCACCTCAAAATGAAGGGTATTACAAGGCGGGTTCAACCGTGCAAACATATACACTGTACCACCATTGGCATCAGATACCATCAATGCCGCAGAATATATGCACATAGGACTAAACTGGCTAGCTACGACTACAGCTTGATTGTACCGCGCACGTGAATCTACGTTGTATCGAGAGTGTACACGTCGGGGACTGCGCCGTAGGGTGCGTTATGCCGAGGTTTACGTTATGTAGGACTAAACTGCCTAGCTACAGCTACCGCTTGATCATACCGTGCACGTGAATTTATGTTGTATCGAGAGTGTGCACGTCGGGGACCGCCGTAGCGTGTGTTATGTCGAGGTTTATCAGTCCTGGAGATGTCCTAGATAGGACATCACGGAACCCAGCATGCCCCAGCATACATACTATGCTGTTCCCATAGTAATCGTGACACGTGACTCAAAACTTTGTGTCGCGGCCGAGGAAGATGAACATGTCTCACTCAAAACAAACGCAACGAAGGCCTTTCGTCTCAAAAGTAATTATTAGTTGTCGTTCTCCTGGCGGCTTGCCTCAAGCGAGTCGAGATTCGTATCTTGCCTCTTGCCTTCACGAATTTTATTTTCCTCGATGTGGAGTACGCCTGGACAAAGGAACTGGCAAGCGAATCGTTCGGTCGCATTGAAAATTGCAAGTGCACAAGAGGGTTGGCGAAGCAATTAATTTGTGTTCGCACTTTCAGCAGAGCAGTAGCTGCTGCTGCGATAAAGTTTTTACTTTCGCCACTGGTTTCAGGCAGCAGAAGGATCTGGCTGAAAGCAATGGCGATACGTTCATGACCACCACGTCCTGGGTTGATATCCAAGAAAGACCGTCCAAGGTCCAGTTTTAGCCAAGAGCTGTCGTATCCAAGAAATCAAAAACGCCAACAGCAAGCTTTGGCCAAATAATATCTTCCAGGTAGTGATTTACGGGCCTAGCGCCTGCTGCCTCGTCTTCCTCCTCTGCATGGCCAGGCTTGGGGCGAAATGAACGCACGGGGCGTGAAGAAACATTCCAAAGGCAAAACATTCAAATAATTAGAAGCAATCGTTTCCGAAGAAGCGCCGCGTGGCTACGAGAAACCCCACATGAAATCCCCAAACGAAAACGGCCATTCGGTCGGGTATTCGATGGCGAATCGAATATACACTACCTCAATCCCCGCCGATGTCTGATATTCTCCGCCTGTTCCCTCAAACTTGACCAATTCGGAAAGAAATCCATCGCCATTACGATCGTGCATCCTCCACATACATTCAGAAATGCTCACGCAGCACTTCTTTTCATCGCGTGTGCGCGACCGACGCTTCCATGACAACTCTGGGACAGGTAACCAATCAGACTCATTCAGAGTGCGATGTCCTAGATAGGACATCTCCCCGACTGTTTATGTTATGTAGGATTATGTTGTGTAGAACAAATTTTGTATGGGAGTGATGCTGTTTCGGCGCGGGATTTGATTTTTTTATGTACTAACGAGGTTTATGTACAAGTGAGAGTTGTTATATCGAGAGCAGACCTGTACCAGTACTCATGACTGACCATCTTTCTCAACCGATCTGTTGTCGGACTATCTGAACAGGACACAACTGTGTTCATCCATCTACATCAAGCACATCATACATGGTCTTTCTATGTTGTGATTGCAGATGGTTTGACCCAAGACCATCTTGCGGAATTTGCTGTTCTCTATAAAGAGCATTGCGAGGTAAGGTGGGTGGGGTGGTCCCTGCCAATGCTAGCAGTCTTCAGTCCACCTTCAGATTTCCCATCTGCCCCGACACGTCAATTTCATATCGATAAACTCATGTTCAAGTAACTCAGCACATTGCATGCAGTGAGTAGTAACTAAATAGAGCGGTTCTCAGTTGACAAACCCGCTTTTCGTTTAGGCTTCTTTCCTCTTGTCATGTTTTCCAGAGTACCTTCACCCCCCCCCCCCCCCCCACACACACACACACACCTGTCGATGTGTTGAATACTAGTACTAGTACTAATAGTATGCCCGGAATGTAGTACGAACCCTGTTTACAGCGTACCCTGTGTACACTCCTTCAATTTGAACATTCGTACTGTAGTGATCTAGAGCTTTTTCAAGGTTGTACCAACGATCACTTTTTGGGGTCACGTGCGAGAAAATTTTGAATCGCTGGTGAACAGGCGAAGCCCAGTTCACGTTCACTTTGTATGGGAATGGATGTGTGGAGGTGAAAGAAGCAGTAGAATGGCGCTCCACTTGACGGTCCAACGCTCGTGTTGAGTCAGAGCAGTTGCCAGGAAGCCCTTCCATGGCTTGCGCAAAAAAGAACAAGCTTCAGAATCACTCCAAGCGCTGGTGGAGACGAACCTGTCACAGTTTGTATACTTTTCAATGCATTTTGGCATGCGACCTGTTCACCACAATCTCGGGGTGATCACCGGGGCGGCGGGAAAGGCGTCCTTGAAAAAGCTCTATCTTTAGCTCCTGTGCTTGGTCGCTAATCCAGTAGACTAAAGTGTCATCCCATGTCAGTGTGTGAGGCGTAGGCATGGTAGTGAATAACATAGTGCTGTATAATGTGGCTTGTCATTACAATCCTTGCCGTACTGTGTTTCCCAGTAATGCAAAGTACGAAGCAGTACTTATGACGGCTATGCTGCATGCATCTTTTGGTTCTTCTTGAAATTAACGTTAGCTCATCAGAAAAGGCGATACACGCCTGGCAGCTCACTAATTTCGCTTCTCACACATTGCAGCATGTGCATGTTCTACATAGTACACCAATGAGTACTGTAAAACCGGAAAGTCTAACGTTTTAACGACCAATTGTTTTCGTTATTTGAAGAAACTTTATCGCGAACCCGGTTTGAGATGTCTGTGTAAAGATGCACATGCACGGATGGGTGGCCAGGTAGCCATCGTTAAACTTCCTGCACGTTATCATGCCAAAATTACAAGAACGTTAAACCTTTTGGTCGTTAAACTTTCCGGTTTTACAGTACATCACTGGCATCTTTCTGATTGCATTTTCATGTCCTCTGTCTGCGTGTCATTTCTTCTTGTTCAGGAGCTGGTCAATGTAATACGCAACTTCCAGTTTCACTTATTAGAGCAGCTGTGGAAGCAGTTCTGGTCACATTCGGATGGCAGCTCAGTCAATGGAGCAGCAGCGTCAACAGATACTGCAATGTAAGCTATTGTTGGGTGGTGCCGGATTACTGTAAAAGCCATTGCTGTAAACGCCATTATTCTAACGAGCCGCAAATATAACGATTTCCTAAAATTGACCGGTTTACGTGTACCAAAGGTAACGATTCTCACTCATTCTCAGCGCTCACTAGCAACAGCACAAGTATCGATTTCCGTGTAATGTTTTCTATTCTAGTGATACATGTAGGTTTCTCCTCGTTAACTCGTTAGATTTTGCACTTCGTTGTATCAAGAGTAGATAAACAAGAGTGTGCAACTCGCGGATGGGTTGGTCCACGGCGGGAATTTTTCGTTGACGTAATCTTTTCGACGACGCACGCGCTGCGAGTCCTTTGGAAAGTTTTTCGCTCGTGCACTTGGCCGGGGTTTACACTACAAGGTCGGTGCCCAGCACGTGCTCTCACACTGCTCTGCGGCAAAATGCGCATTTCTCTGAGAAAAGGTGACGTCAACAAAAAATTCCGCCGTGGGTGGGGGTATCCGTGTCTTCAGATTGTGCAGGAGAGATCCGGAGTTGCACACTCTTGTTTATCTACTCTTGGTTATATCAAGAGCCCATGGACTCCTGGTTATTTATAATTATGTATATAAAGCTCTTGCAGTATTCCACTGTGGCTGTTTTGCAGTTGAGTTGAAGGCCTGCGCGATGCCATGCAGCTGCTTTGCTTTCCTCTGTGTAGTGTCATTCTGGTATTATTTTGAAGCCTGTTAGGGGTCATCGCAAAGTTTTTTTGTCGTCCCTGAAAAATCGCAAGTTGACCGGCACTGGGCATGCCTGCGATTTTCATCGTCCAGCATAGCAAGCTGCGTTCCTTTTGGAGAGTGGGGATGGGTCCGAGTACGATGTTCGTTTCGAGATGACAAAAACTTTTGCGATGACCCCTTATTTGGGAGGTTTAGTCTCCCACGTAATCCATGTGTACTTTACGTGTGTGTACCACGTGATACTCAGTGACCCACGTACAGCCGTTTTCTGATTCACGACTCTATTTTGCCCGTCTTGTTTTGCCTTCACAGGGATACAGGGGATGACTCCCACCGTCTGCCCGGCCCGATTCTGATGTCTCTTTGCCAGTGTCCTTGCGTTCAGTCTTTTGTTCAGAATTGCGACAACTTGATCTACCAATGCCTTGTTGAACTCCTTGTACCGCAGGTGCTGCGGCCGATTCCAAGTAAGGCTGTGTTTACATGAGGCGTTTCAACCCGGGTTGACTTCGACCCGGGTCAGATTTCAACCCGCCATATGCACAAAATGAATGGCGCGTTTACATGACGCATTGCGCTTGACCCGGGTTGAAATTTCGCCCCGGGTCAAGAAAATCGTACAAACGTACTTCTGTGCGTATTTCGCGCCAGATTTGAACAGCACTGCAGATGCAAATTTCGCGCGAACGGATTCACGTGACCATACAGGACTGTAGAAGTGGACTTTTGGCGGCATATCAGTATTTGACCCGGGTCAACTGTCTTCATGTAAACGCTCACCTCTTTTGTTTGTCGTACAGACTTTCAACCCGGGCTGAACTCGACCCGGGTTGAAATTTCTCATGTAAACACAGCCTAAGAAACATTATTACACCAACCTCAAACACCGCGGACAAAATGGAACAAGCTATGAGTTGTTACTTTGAGTTTCATGGCAGAGTGCGATGTTCACCAGGCACCACCGTGTGAAGCCTGATCTGTACCTTGTGCGTTGAGCACTATTGCAGTAACAGTGCCTGCCTGCTTGCACATCAACAAATAACTTGTTCCAGTGTGTCCACAGGGTTTGACCAGCTCTGCACATTATATATCTCCATATCACTATCACAGCAATAGTGACTGCCTCAGTGCGCACATCAACTGCTGTCTAACCGCCGTCTCTGTGTCTGTATACAGGTCAGCTAACACAGATCATTCGTAACTTGTCCAAGAACCTAGAGACGTGGCTAGGTGGTGCAATGGCAGATGTCCCGGAAGCAATGGCAGAGGTTAAGGTGAGTCCGTTGCACCGCTGCACGTGCCTATGGTGGCACCTGTTCTAACATTAGGCTCACTCTATGTGCATTGTATACATTTACCTAAGTCACACCCACAATAACTTCCGATAAACGCAGCTTAAGGCGCTTGAAGCATAGTGCAGGGGTCCCCGTGCGCACAGGGTTTTGTGACGATGTGTTTTGTGAGTGAAACTTCTGCTGGTGTGGGCAATTACCGTTCTCCGTTTCAGATGACTGCGGTCAGTGCCCTATCACAAACGCTCCGCCGCTACACATCACTCAATCATCTGGCTCAGGTTAGTTCATGTGCTGCGATTCTTGAGTCTGTATGGCGTTGTTAATACTATGCCACCACTTGTACATCGTGCTGGTTTTTTTTATATTTCTTCGAGTAGGAGGCTTTAGGGACCAGCTGTGGTTATCAATTGAAGAACATGTCTTTTGTGGTTGAAATGTATATTGTGCAAGAGACCACGCAAGGTCATCATCATAGTGTAAGTGCTTTCTTTTGAAAATTTCTTCAAAGTGCTATACTGCCAAACCTCTCCGGGATAAGCGCCCAGGAGCCAATGGAATTTTCGTGCTCAAATGACGTGTTCCTGTCGATTAGCGCTCCAACCATATAATCTTCCATGGATTTTGTTTCCTTCTGTGTGCTCCAGGCGGCTCGGGCTGTGCTACAGAACTCAAGTCAGATAGCGCAGATGTTGAATGATCTAATCAAGGTGGACTTTCAAAGCATACAGGTGGGAAATGGTGGTTTCTGCTCTTGAATGTTGTCACTATTCTTTTCTTTTAGAATTGACTCTGATTCCCAGATCAAACTTTTCCTACTGATTCTGCACTTCTGCACTTCTCTCTCTCATTCTCGCATTCACTTTCAATGCTCCACGTACAACTCATGTATAACACGAACGTAGGAGGAATTCTGTTTGATACGATGTTGGTGGATCAAGATTGTGTAACTGCTACCTGGATAGATGAAGTCTGCAAGCTGGCAGACGAATGCAGACATGCATCTGTTGTATTATTTATTTATTTTTATTGGTTCAATTGGTTCAATAATATGGTGGTAAAGACACGCCTGGCGAAATGGCAGTAAATTTGTAGAAAAATTGATGCATCTTTCCCTCAAACCGGTGAGTATTCACTAGTAGTAAAAATGATGTGTTTGCGTTGTGTTTGAGTGCAGGAGCAAGCGACATGGGTTTGTCAGTGTCAGGAGGAAACACTGCAGCGTATTCAGAATGAATTCAAGACCTCTTTGCAAACACAGGTATGTACAAGTGGATTGTATTTTCTTCGCAATGAAGTGCATCAGGCACATTATCAGTAATGTCTCGACGCCTTGTTTCTCTCCGACTATTGGAGGCTGCCAAGAAAATGAAAGGAGAGACCAGTTCCTTTCTCGAGATTTCTCTTCAATCTCGATCCTCATGCAAACTCAAGGGTGTATGTTTATTGTTTTTTCTCTACTATCGGACCGTCTGATACCACCTGGTTGCAGTGTGGGAATGGGTGGGAAGAACATTGAAGCCTGAAGGACATTACAGTGTTTCTACATGGTAGATTCTTTGCTGGGTTTTTCAATAGCCCCTGGATGTTGCACACTGACAGTGAATAAAAAAACAGAATGTTATGTTTTTGCTGTGTTTCTGCCCGTTGGATTTTGTGAATCATTCTGTTTCCGTATGAAGCCAGCGTTTCTGGACATCTTTTTTATGTTGGCTTCCTTTCCGTGGGGTTTAATCACTACCACGACTAGTGACGATGTGTTTCATTTCCTGTGTCTTTTGTTGCTCTCTAGCAATATCTTGAGGACTGGGCGACCTGGATGGAGAAGCTGGTAGATGAACTGCTCCAGCCAGTGATAAACTCTGCGGATTATGTAAAGGTTGCACGTCAATTCCTGCTGAAGTGGTCGTTCTACAGGTAACTGATGTGTTATTGATATTTCTCTCACAGCTGGCCCCGCTTCCATCCATGTTTGCCCGCGGCCTGTGTATTGTCTTTTGGTACCGGTAGTGCCCAGCCTCTGCTTTGTCCTGTCGATCTGCATTTTTTGTTGTTAGTGAGGTCCTTGTGTGGGTGTGGGTGTGAGGTGTCAAAAACCTTTTCTTGGTTGGTTTCATTTTGTTTTGCAGCTCTATGGTTATCAGAGACCTGACCCTGCGCAGTGCTGCGAGTTTTGGCTCGTTCCACCTGATTCGTCTGCTGTACGACGAGTATATGTTCTACATTGTGGAACATCGTGTATCCAAGGCCCTCAACAAGGTTCCAATCTCTATCCTGAGCGAGGTAAGCAGCTCTAGAAACGATTTCTGACGAGAAGTTCACATGGCTTGCAACCGATGGACTTTCTTCACGACGATTACACTTGGTTTATTTTAAAGCACGCGCGGAATACATGCCCAAAAGATTATTGGACGTGAAGCGATTACAGTCTATGCAGTCAATTAACTTGGATTCGTTCGCTTGCTCTTGTTGAACGAATAAATGAGCGTTCAGTATACTAGTACTCGATCTCCTTTCAGCACTGCTTCTGCCAAGGCAAAATCTTCACAAGGTGTTTGGCTTCAAAAAGTCAACTGATGTTTTTTCAACCCAACAGACAGTTTAGCGGCTGGGCCAAATCAGTATATTTGCCATCATCTATAAATGGGGCGAGAGTAGCTGAAATTTCTTTCTGCAGAAAAAGGCTAAATCTCTGCCTGCCTGACAGACGAGAATCGCGTTCGGATCACTCTCATTTTCCAGCTGCTGCCGTCGAAACTCCAAGGCTTCGTTCCTCCGTTGGAAAAGCACTGCGTATCCGTGAGGGACGATTCCTGCGGGCTTCACTCTGCAACGATATCGAACTTGTTTATCAATCAATTATTACGTGTTGGCACGTTGCCCTCATCAGGTATGCAAACCTATAAACGAGTTCGATGTTGTTGTTGCAGAGTGAATTGGAAAGAGCGGGTCTGCTCTAAAAACCACTTCCTATGAATCTTCGAAGCTCCAGGATGCTTCACCACTGCTACTAGTTCACAGCAGAAGCTAAATGAAAGAGATTCCCTTGTGGCCATTACAATCAGAAAAAATGATGTTGAATAGATTGTTTGAAGCTGCTTGCTTGGATGATGGAAGTCCTATCCGAACTGAAACCCCTGCTTGCGGCCTGCTGAATGCCTGATGTGCATGACTTCTGTACGCTCCACTTTGTCGGTCGTAGGGTGAGTGCTTGTTCATGTAGTACTGAATGCGGGAAGTAGGACTCGCCCATCCGCCTTTCCCCTCCTGGACCTACTGGAAGAGTCACGGACGTAGGGACACTCTGGCGGGATTCTTACTGTTCCGCTTTTTGGGTCTTCGGAACCATGTACAAATTTGCCTTGAAATCGTGCAGATTCACGCAGCTAGACCCAACAGCCGCAGAGCCTCCAATTGCGAATCCTTGTTCCCCACATTCGTCCTGCAGTGCGCGTAAATCTTCCTATTCCTACGGCCTTCTCCCTTCGCCTTCCTCAACTGTTTCTCTATCCCTAACTGCTCGGTCACTCGTTTGGGAGCCAAATCAAGTTGTTTCGCTGTCAGTCTTGTACTCTTCCCATTGGCATTGTACCAGCCTAACACTAGTTGCACTGATACTTGAATTCAACAGTGACTGGTCAGTGCCATGACCAAACAAAAGGCAAAATGAAAATGTCGTGAGCACCCAAAGGAAATTGCGAAAGAGCTATTATTGTCGATAGAAAGCTTACTTCCTCGATTTGTCCAGTTGATAGTTAGAGCAGCAAGTGGCAAGCAAAAAAAATCAGTTCACTATTGGTCCATGTCGATCCTCGGTGTTAACAAAAAGACGGGTCACGCAGAATGCTGGACGTGCATCTCATGCACCGACCAAAGGTCAAAAGGGTGTGAACTGTTGCGTACATTTTCAGCCGAGTCGAGCGCTCGTCTGCAGTGCAGTGTGGCATTATAGGATCCTACGATGATACAGTTGTGGTCACTGTCCTGACAAGAACTCAGGAAGGGGTGCATAAGACAGCACTCTGGCGGGATTTTACAGTACTCTATTTCCCGCCCCGCAATTGTGCTGTTGTGGACTTGAATCAGGAATTGCTCTGTCTGTATGTGTTGACTTTGCAGTTTGTTCAGCTTGGACGGACATATTCTTCACAAGCAGAGGACGGCAGTTTCAACGCTGATGACACAATGGCTGAGTGTAAGTTGCAATGATCACCTGGAGTTCTCATCTCTAGATGACTTGGTGATTTTTGAGAGTTTGCAACAGTTAGAAGTGGCAGCACCAGCTTTCGATTCCACTATTTAGAACCGTTTTGGTTACAGAATGTCTGGCGTAGCATGTACAGGCAAGACTGACAGCAAAGTTGTTGCATTAGCAGCATGCATGGACTTGGTATGCTTTCCCTCCTGGTTCAACGCATCACTCTACGCTTTGTGACGTGCTCGTTTTTTGTGTGTGGATTTGTTCTTCAGTGAATGCCGGAAGCACAGGTATCAGTACAGCATCAGTAGTAACAGCGACAACAACAGCCGCCACACAGGAACACGTAATTGTTCCGCTGGTCACATGAACCTAACGCTACTTCTCCCTTCTGTCATGGTGAGTGGGATTCTGGCGGAATATTGTCTTTGTGCGGGGGGTTACGGGTTAAGGACATGTACCACGCTGCCAAAAGTATACCTACATTCATTATGCCGGTATGTTGGCTGTGTGAGATTTGATTGCCTCTATTAAACTTAGTAACAGCCTGCTTGTTCGGTACTGCATCATCTTCAGGCCGTGTCAATTTGCTATACATCTCAGATGATTGTTTCGTTCCTGGTGCTCACTATTTTTCTTCTGTTCCCTTTGCTTTGTTGTTCGCTTCAGCTGCTTGGTAATCGGAAGAAAGAAAACTGAAGGAAAAAAAAGCATGCTCAGCAACGCAACGGTTGCACGCACACGGTGTGTTCACACAGCTGTATGCGTCTATGTTGGCACACAGCTCTGTGTCATGTCCGATATAACACAGAATATTAAAAAAATGCCATAGGCGTCATGAGAACTTGACATGAAATGATCAATGGGCTCTGCACAGCGATGCATCCCGGTTTTTTGTTTGTTTGTACATGAAACACGTCACGCTAACATTACTCGTTTTGTTTTTTAAGAAAGTAGTTTGCATCTGTTTTGTGTGTCCCATCTATACTATTGCTATTCTTTACCCTTTGATCTAGACAGATATTTTAGGTCTGTTCACTGAGTACAGTACTCAGTGCTTAGTACTCATGCTATGCTGCTTATTGGTTCCTTTGTTATCATGGCTGCTTTGATGTACAGTTATAAATTGCATGTGTGCATGAAGTACATCTGCACTCTCCATTGTAACGTTTTTGGGCTTGAATGTACCCTTTCGTCTTCCGTCTCGGGTGGATTTATCTTTGTTTTCCCCGTTTTCGAGTTCTCAACCATTCCTTGTCCTTGTCTGTTCTTCTCCACTTGTCTGCTGTCATTCTATGCGAACTTCAGCGCGCTTCCTGTCAGTGACACTGTTTCCAAGGAGTACTCCCTGCTGTTTCCATGCAGTGTATCCAGGCTCCGCCCTTAGCCTTGCGACATGCTGTCATCGTCATACATGTACACCCTGGCAGTGGTATTGCTGACAGTCAGGTAGCAAGCCATCAGGGCGTAGTACACAATTGTCATTATTTTTATTAACCTCTCCCTGCTTTGGATGTAATGGGGGGGGGGGGGGGTAACCAGGGAGCCGTCAAATTAGTTCATATGATGTAAACAGGGCTAGGGAGTAGCAGCTCAGTGCAGTCCGTGTCATGGCTGCGGCCCATTTCCCACGACTTCCTGGCCCTGGATCTAGAACTGTCTACCAGATTCAGTGACAACATCTTGTTGACAAGAAACGAGGAAGAAATGGTGAGGAAAAATGCAGAAGAAAGGGAGAGAAAAAATGCAAACTGAAAGAATGCAAAAGCAGGGTCAGGGAGTCGTAAAATACGGGTACTTTACTACCGGTACCAAGAGTTCATAACTCCTGCCGGTACATGTATGCAAAAGTTTATGTAACCATGGTAACAGTCTGGCCACGCCGAACCGGTAAAACCAGCCGGCCGAGGTGCATGCGCGGCGTGCGCTGCATCGGACGGGTCAGGTGCCGCTAGCTAGCTTCGCCGACCGGGATCGGGAGGTCTCGTGCTCACAGGCGCACATCCAACTTTCCCAAGGCACCACGCTTCAGCATGGAAAGACAGGATTTTCTTTCCTTTTCTTGTGGCCTGGTTTGTTGTGGCATTGGACACATTGCGGCCACGACAAGTTTTGCAATTGTTGTTTGCTCCGTCACTTTGTTTTGTGACACAACATTCAATAACAGTTTGTCAGTTCTTGTCGGCCCAAACGTAGAGTAACCATGTCTCGTTACGGTGGTGGAGGTGGTGATAGGTATGTCGAGCTTTCGGAAAACAAATCGATAGGAAGTTTGTGCTTTATTTGATACCCTGTGATTCGTTCCGGATCATTGTGCACTGTTCAGATATGGAGGTGGTGGTTACGGAGGTGGAAACTCCCGTGGCTTCGGAGGAGGAGGTGGTGGAGGCCGTGGTGGCCAGCCCGGCTCTACTCTGAGGAAGCCGAGGTGGGATCTATCCCGCTTGCCTCGCTTCGAGAAAGACTTCTACAGAGAGCACCCTGATGTTGCCAATCGCACACAGGTATAAGCCTAAGAGTATAACTTACGAACGTGTAACTTTAGCCGTGGATGGGAGTTTAGTAGGCACATGACGGCAGAAAGGGTCCGCGTAATGTCCTGACGAAATGTGGTCACCTTCATTGACACTTGATGATGTTTGAGCATCTCTTCATACGCACCAGTCATGCACAACATTTCCAGTACTTTTCATGAGCGTCCATGATGTAATATCCACACGGCGAACGAAACCACTGACAACCCTACTCCAGCTTTATTACCCTGCTCTTCACCTGTAAATAGATTGACAACAAGAACTGCTGGAGAGTGGAGTTCACTCACTACTTTATGTTCGCTTGTACGCTGAGGGTTGAGACAGTCACCGTTGAATGGTGTTCCTACCCATGCTCTCCCTTGCTCAAACCTCCTGGGAGTACACATACAGCGTGCAATAGATAGAATTGCTCTGGCTTCATGTTCGTTGGCAGTTTTAGAGTGGTCAGGCCAGTACACAGTCCACATCCCAACAACCTAGAGTGAAACGCACCGAGAACCGTATGTTGCTGCCGTTCAAGGTAGTAGATGCCTTGAGACAATTGTTGAACTCTTCCCCATGAAGACCTGAGGCGGAAAGTAGTAAGACCATGACACTGATCTGGCCTGGCCCGGCTGGATGGCGCTCAAAACCTACTTGACATTTCTATGTGTACTGTAAGAGTTGAATCTCTAACGGGACACACAGTATAGCGTTTTAACGAGAAAGAATCTATCGTCAACTCAAGAAACATACTGGCATGCTATTTCTTCTCTCTTCTGTACTAGAGAAACAGAAGATAGGTTTATGATTGCAGGGTCGATAAACTCTGTACCGGCCAAGTGGGAAGATTTGCAAATCGTTAAACTTTGGGCTCTTCACACTTTAAACTCTTACAGTATTCGTATTTCATGGTCCTGTGGCAGCTCTTTAGAAGAGTTCAAGGGAACTGATGACATTTGACACTGCTAATGCAACTGTACCATGGCTATGCTGTCTGTGTGGACTAGGCTCAGTACTAAGGTACTCCCAGGAGCAATATAAGCACAAACTTGGGTGCTGAATCGAACGGTCTTGGTCCGAGAAAGCTGAGACGCTCCCTTCCTACTTGAATCCCAATCGAACTCGCGCACTTCCACCGAAACTGGGTGACTGCTCCCTACTAGATGGGGATTTATATGCAAAATGTCACTAAAAGCGCCATTTCGTTCTTATAAAAGCACGGATGACCGCGATTGGCCCATATGTTGTACTCTTTTGGACGCTGAGTCGACTGGTTTTGGTCCGAAAAGGCTGCGACGCAGCGTTCCTCCTTTATTCCCAATCGAACATGGTTGAACAAGCGGTCACATGCTCCTGGGTGCCCAAATCACCTGGTCACCACGCCAGCAGGCGACAACTTTCACACCAAGGTTCAACTCGAGTTCAACTCGAGTGACAGGACTGCACCCAAAAAAGGTCAAACAGGCTAGTAAGTTGTACCCTGCAGGCACGGTGACCAGGTGACTGGTGTACGCAGGAGCACGTGACCGCTTGTTCAACCATGTTCGATTGGGAATAAAGGAGGAACGCTGCATCGCAGCCTTTTTGGACCAAAACCAATCGACTCAGCGTCCAAAAGACTATAACATATGGGCCAATCGCGGTCATCCATGCTTTTATAAGAACGAAATGGCGCTTTTAGTGACATTTTGCATACTAATCCCCATCTAGTAGGGCACAGTCACCCGGTTTCGGTGGAAGTGCGCGAGTTCGATTGGGATTCAAGTAGGAAGGGAGCGTCTCAGCTTCCTCGGACCACTAACATTCCACTCAGCACCCCGAAGACTACAACTGGTGAAATTTTAATTTTTGCCTTAATTTCCCCTTTAACTCGTTGGCTTTGTGATTTCACGTTCATTGTGCCTTTGATTTTCAAATTATTGGTGGACACCTGCTTGTGCCTTGGCATTTTCCTGGCTTTACCACCACGCGTGGCTAGGTTTTTTATCAAAATGATTGCCTTATGTATTTTGTGTCTTTGCTATGGTCGTTGCTCCAACTGTTGCAACTCTGCCTTCTAACTGTTAGATGGAAGTTGACACCTACCGTCGCAGCAAAGAGCTTACCCTGAATGGACGCAATATTCCAAGGCCCATCCAGCAGTTCCGTGAAGCCAATTTCCCAGGTAGGGTCTGCCATTCGGTGTGACTGAGAATTATTACTGCATAAAGACATGACTCATCTAGAAGGACGCAAGTTTGGACAGGGTGTTGAGACCTGCAGCAAAACTTGTCCGGCGCGTAGCCCGTGGGAGCATGTGAACCCCCCCCCCCCCTAAATCGTTCAACCTTTGCTCGATAAATGTGCCAATTTTTGTGTCATATCACCTAACCAGTCTTCTCGCGACCAAAAATCGACTGTGTCATGCAGTGCATATTCATAGGACCTTGACTCGGTCATTTCTCATCCGAATTCAGCAATGAAACAATCTAGGTGAGACGAGACACTCGGAAGTTGGCAACTCAGAGCTCTCTCGGATCAAGTTTGACCAAGCGGCGATCAATCGAAACATTTGATTTTTTGTGACTTAGGAGCCAGCGAAGAACGCTGTCATTTCCTGCAAACCAAATGAGTGGTTTGAGTGGCACATTTTCACTGGGGGGGGGGGGGGGGGGGGGCTATGCCCCACTGCCCCCTTTTGATTAGAACACTGGCACTAGTAACAGATTCAAGCATTCTTTTCAGTTTGTGCATGTATTTGGCATAGTAGAGGCCGGAGTAAAAGCATGATCCTAACAGTGGTAGCTTGAGTGGGCCATAACACTGCTTTTATGCATGAGTTTACAGTACTGTACAGTGGGAAAATTTTCGCTAGCGGTTAAACCTCTCTATTTTCTATACCATCACACATTCACGAATGTAAATCGCTGCAAACTGCTCTGTACATTGATTGCGGAAGCCACCGGCTGATGAATGAAGCACAGCGTGAACCCGCTCGACAGAAACGATTTTCATTTCCGTCATGCCTCCAAAAATGTACGAAGCCCCGTAGACATAATTGTAGCTGACCACGGCCCATATACTGTTTCCCTGTGTACGCTCGGCAGACTATGTCACTAACGAACTGGCGAAAATGAACTTCAAGGAGCCGACTGTCATCCAGGCTCAGGTAAGCAGGAGCAGAAACAAAGCCAACTGCATCCATTACTGCTAGAATATGATCAATGTTGCAGGTGCTTTCTTTGTTGAACTGCTGACCTCTCCCTGTGCACTACACCTGGATGTTTGTATGCTACAAGCAGTGCGATGCACATGTAATGCACATTGTTTGTCAATGTTAAGAGACCAGATTTGACGTACCCTGTCTTCTGTCGCGGCGCTGCTGTGTTTGGTCTTCTCCAGGGCTGGCCATTGGCATTGTCTGGAAGAGACATGGTGGGAGTTGCCCAAACCGGATCAGGAAAAACTCTAGCCGTAAGTCCATAATGTTATGCGCGTATGCACCCAGATACCTGAAGTACATTGTATGAGCACAGATAGTGCATCTTATGTGGAAAGGATGGAGGTTGCTTGATCTAAGAAGGTCAGACTCTGGCCAATCTAGTCACTAGTAGCTTCCCTAGTGTAGACTGGGATGCAATGTATGTACTTGTATACTGCTGTTGGCTTGGTGTGATTTTCAACGCAGTGCACAGCTTTAGTACAAACATCCCAAGTCTTTTCTGATTTATTCTTCTTTTTGCTGAATGCAGTACCTGTTGCCCAGCATTGTACACATCAACCATCAGCCTTTCTTGGAGCGTGGAGATGGACCCATTGTAAGTATCTCCTAAACTCTTAGTTCAAAGTCGAGAATGGTGTCTGCTACTGTTGCCAGACGGCTTTGTCATTCCTTGTCTCTACTGTACTGTTTGTTTTTTCCTACTTCTGAAGTAATTTGTTGATTTGTATTTTGTGTGCGTTTGTGTGTGTGTGTGTGTTTGCAGGTCCTGATCCTTGCTCCCACAAGAGAATTGGCACAACAAGTACAGGTTAGGATCTTTTACCTCATCGAGATGTGTTCTCTTCTTCCTCCTGCTGCAATCCTGCCTCTTGCATCCTCAGTACCACACATCATACGTTAATGCGAGTAGCTCCTGATCTTGCTTTGCACTCTTTTTTGTGCTATTCCCAGGTCATCGCAAACAACTTTGGTTCAACCTCTCGCATCCGTAACACATGCGTGTATGGTGGTGCACCGAAAGGACCCCAGTTGCGCGACTTGGAACGCGGTGTTGAGATTTGCATCGCAACACCCGGTCGTCTCATTGACTTCCTGGAGGCAGGAAAGACGAACCTTCGCCGATGCACATACCTGGTTAGTTAAATTATGTCATGCTCTCTTTTAAAAGTGCTTCCTGTGCATGCTGGTATGCATGCAGCACTGCTTGAGCCCTGTACTTCACTGTGTGGCATTTCCCATATCCACACGTAACGCATATACGATTATGTGCTGAGATCCTGGGTGCGGAAGAGGCGCGCAGGATGCTATGACGCTGTATTCATCTTGATCTGGTATGGTGATACATTCAGTACCCCGACAGACTCCAGAAGATCAGCTGATGTTCTCACTGGTAGACTCACCTATTTGCCAAGGTGTTTGTTTATATTTATGTTATGTCTTGTCACTCTGACCAACCCATGTTCTGTGATCTTCCAGGTCTTGGACGAAGCTGATCGCATGCTTGACATGGGCTTTGAGCCTCAGATTCGCAAGATTGTAGAGCAAGTCAGAGTAAGTTTTTGTGCTTACTAGTACCTTCTGCTTGCTACACCATGTACCCTGTGGGAGAACATTCGGTTTCCATGCCTGCTGTGGTCTGTGGTATTACCTATGTCTGGTTTTTGGGGTTTGGTATATGCATCTGACTTGGTGTGTATTTTTTTGTTTGTTTGTCCGTCTGTCTGTGTATTTGTCCGCTCAGCCTGACAGACAAACAGTCATGTTCAGTGCGACCTGGCCAAAGGAAGTGCGCCGTAAGTGTTGTTTCTCCCAATGTCTGCCATCGGTGTGCTCTTCCATATTTTATGCTGTTGCATTATGTCAAACGGGCTTCACAAAGTATTAATTTTAATGCTGATTGCATTGCATTCTGCACTTGGCAGTTTTAATTGTTTTTGGATGGCTCTGGCCATCAGTAGATTTTCTTCTTTTATGCCCTTGTCCCTTTTGCTATGCACAGTAGTGAACCGTTGCATGTCTCAGTGGCTGTGTTCAGTCATGCACAGAGCTAGATATTAGTCATAGACCACCATGGTTATAGCTACTCCCAATCCTTGTCTCATGTATGTATGTGAATGTGGTTTACAGAGCTTGCCGAAGAGTTTTTCTCCGAGTATGCACAAATCAACGTTGGTTCGCTGGACCTGTGCGCCAACCACAACATTCTTCAGATCGTTGACGTGTGCGAGGAGTATGAGAAGGACAACAAACTGGTGCGTCTGGTGGAAGAAATCATGGGCGAGAAAGAGAACAAGACCCTGATCTTTACCGAGACCAAGCGCCGTGCAGATGAGCTGACAAGGAAGATGAGACGTGATGGGTAAGTGAGAGCTGCGCATGATGTCTGATTGGTTTCATTGGCATTGAAGTACATATGCAATGTACAGATTATCCTGCATTAATCTCTTCCCTCCCCCGCCCCCCCAGACACACAGTCATTAACGATGTTGTATGCTTGGATGACTATTTTGCATTCGTTCTTGCATTCGTTTTGTTTCAGCTGGCCTGCAATGTGCATCCATGGTGACAAGGCTCAGCCAGAACGTGACTGGGTGTTGAACGGTAAGGCTTGGATCTTGTTCTGCTGCTCTGCTACACACACTACTGCTGCACACCGGCGGAATTTGCAAGAGTGCAACATGCATCTCTAGTAATCAGTATGGTTTTCTTGTTGAGCTGCTTCTGTCTGTGTTCGTTCCCAATGTATGCTTCCTGTGCACCATATATGTTCCTGTGCTGTGGACACTACTTGTACTAGAATAAGACTCGTTGCCGTGTGCTGCTACAGTACTGTGCTGTCGGCTGCTAAAGAACGAACAGGCTAACGTTAGAATTTCACCAGGTGCAAGATGCCCTTGTGTGCACCGAGACTGATCTGTGTACATTGTGCACTGTTTAGCATGAAATATTCGAACGGCGTAGGCTACGGTTGAACCCCCAGTTCTTCGCGATCACACAGTACTGTAACCCTAATTTTGCACAGGTTATACCCCTCGTACTTAACGTTGTTTTTTTGTGCCTCCTTCCTGTAAATGATCTCAGAATTCCGGTCCGGCAAGTCACCAGTCCTGGTAGCTACTGATGTAGCAGCACGTGGTCTTGGTAAGGTGTATGTGTTGCTCTCTCTCCCTCTTGTGTGGATAGAATTGTTGTTGTCCACTGCCTGGTGTGTGTGCTATTCCCTGTTGTGTTGTCCATTCTCCAGTTGTCTGGTTTTTCGATGTTTGCTGTCTATTAGTATTACCTCTTTGTTGTGCAATGCTTTGGCTTGTGAGGTGTGATTTGCTTGATGACTTGGTTTGAATGTGTCTGTTAGTGCAGGGCTGAGTGGGTGACATGGTCTCCGGTAACGACGAGTTTGTTTCCTCGAGGAGTGCTACCAGTCACGTCATGCACGAGAGAGAGCCTAGAGCACGTTGGCTGCTGTTGCATCATGCTATGCTAAGAGACAGTGCCGTGTGGATAGAGAGAGTCAGCTGAGTCGGAGCTTCTTTCAATGTGCAATATGGCCAACACTGTTGCTGCTGCTGTGGTGGTGCGCTGCTGCAACAGGGCCTTTCAGAACAAAACAAAACAAACACGAGTTAGAAAATGTCCGGGTGGCTGTGTCGGCTTGGTTCGCTCTTGGCTCAACTGTGAACTGACCGACTAGGCAGGTACGTGCTAGTCCTCCCGGACATACATGCACACACACCCGTTGGTATGCCTGCGCATCGTGTGCACGCATGCCTGCACAACCACTCTGACCTGCTTCCTCTCTATCCGTGCTGATCTCAGTGTAGCCGCTGCTGTGGCGGTCTTCTTTTTTTGTTGGCTCGGCGTGGCTGGGTGTGGCCCCTGCCACACATACACACCTCCAGGTTTGCACACAAAGTTGTTGCCGTCAGGCTCTGTCTCTACTAGGCCATGCCGCACGTATTGTGCACAAGAAAGTGGAAAGGTTTCACACAAGTCGTGGAATAAATTCAACATGATTTTCAAAATGGGCATCGCAGTCATAGGCCGGTCTGCCTTAGCTAAGATTTTGCGGTGTTGATTGCGTTCATCCGCAGTCAGACCCATGATAACATTGTCATGCGGATATGATCTGCTTATGAGCAGACTGCGATTTCATTCTACTGCAGTACATGTTGACTGTCCCTGCGGGAATTTGCGGAAAAATTCTCGAAAACTTGCGCAAGAAACTGCAGCAGAAAACAACTCATGCGCTGAAAACTTACGAAACTTGCCAGGAATTCGCGTTGTCTTCTTGGTGATGGATGCAGCTAATGGGATTTCGGTCTTTGACCACTTGGTGGTGGGTCTGATCTACTCACCTCCCACCGTTTAGGCGCTGCATCTGCGCCTTTGATCCTAGAGGGAGGGTGGTGGCATTCCCATGGCGGATGCGGAAAACTCGGCTTCCAGCCGAGTCTCACGCGAACCGTGAAATTTATTTTATTCTTGCTTGGCTGTTACAAGTGAACTTAGATCAACTTTGTTTTGACTGGGTTTTTCGGGGGGGGGGGGGGGAGGAGGAGGAGAGCTTCCAGCCAGTTCTAGCGCTAGTCACGTGGTGGTGCCAACCATTGATACCCGGGCAAAACAGCCAAAATATTGTTGTCTTTTTCAATACACTAGCCAATTTTTCGGAGTTAGTGCAAATCAAAGTTGAAAAATGCAATGCAGATCTTCGTGTTCGTTGCCAACCCGGGTAGCTTTTTTTTGCGTCCCTGATAGGGACATAAAAAAAAGTTACCCGGGGACTCCCTATCACGTATGAAGTCACTTCAAACTTGTGTGTGTGGGGGGGGGGGGGGGGATTATCTGTGGTGAAGAACGTTTATTCGATCGAATGCCAATTCAGCGAACGAACAAAAACTTGCCACTTGCCCCTACTGCACATGGACTTTTTCCGTGAGAAATGAATCTCTGCGGGTGTTGAATATTTGAAGCACTGGGATTGGTAACTGGTAGATAGCGCAAGTAGTAGTGAGTTTCTGCCACGCGGTAAAACGTACGTATGGAAACCTCGCCGCGGTACGGGATCAAGTTTCACACGGATTTTGTCATACCGTTTTCCGTGAAGCGCTCTTCACACGCACTGGTCTCAGTGTGAAAACTGAGCGCACAGAGTACGAGTTGTACATATGACGGGGAGCTTGAGCATGCTACGAACATGCTACGCACAGCAGAACCGGGGCAACGTACGAAAAATCCGTGTCAAACTTAACTGCAGTTGACACAGAGTTTAGTACTTAGTTCCGTGTAGCAGAAACTCACTAATACCTCGAAGTATGTTTGAAAAATTAAAAAGTTGCACATCCGCTGTACATATCAGAATCAGTGCAGCGGGTGAAGGGATGCCCTTTCCTGGCAGTTCTCTTTCGGATTTCACTGGCACCAAACACAAACACACCTGCGGCTGAACTCTTGGATCCCAGATCCGGCATCTCTTCCTAGAGGGGGGGGGGGGGGGGAGAAGGAAACATCAAGCTACCTATCTAGTTAATTTAAAGGCTCCCTTGCTTCTGCTTGTCGCTGTGTAATTGATCATGCTCAGACTGCATCATTGTCATCATTCCGACACACACGCACCACACGCACACACACATAGCAAGTGTGGGCTTGGGGGGGGGGGGGGGGGGGGGGGGAGGGCACTGATCACCGAGGTTTTGCACCACGCTGTGCGTAGCATGAAACATGTGGGACCAATGTTCCTGCGGAGTCCGTGTCTTTTTCATGTTTCACAGCACATACTTCACCGAAAGCATCTGCCATTGGGGAGAATCGGGAAAAGAGTACCGTTTATAGTTGCTCTGGTGTCTACTACATGTACATGAACTGGAACTATTGAACCCTGAACCAACAGGCAGATTTGTACTGGTAACCCTACATTCCCGTTGCACCCGTTCAAGTTGTCGTTGCACACTTCACCCGTTCTTCACAGGTGAATGCCTCGTGCTTCTCCGAAATGAACGGTATGCGGGTACCCACTTCGTGATGCAAACCTCCCCACGTACATGTGATGCAGCTTGCCTTGCACCACATTTATTTGTAAGTGTAGTTAAAAAGATCCTTTCCGAGACTCGTTGACTGCTCTGTGCGGTATGAAGCGATTGATGCTTACATGGTCCTCTGTTCTTCGCATGTTATTACCCTGCGCAGACGTCAACGACGTGAAGTTTGTCATCAACTTTGATTACCCCAACAACTCTGAAGACTATGTGCATCGCATCGGAAGAACAGGCCGCGCTGGCACCACCGGCACAGCCTACACGTTCTTCACGGCCAGCAAGGCACCCAAGGCCAACGAGCTCATCAAAGTGCTGCGCGAGGCCAACCAACACATCAACCCCAGGCTCCTGGAGCTCGGCCAGCGATCCGGTGGATATGGTGGTCGTGGTACGTTCAGTGTACATTGCCTGTCATTATTGTTGTCAATACAATTATGTAGAGAGGTTACACAGAACGAAAATTCGTAAGATTTGGCCGTAGCGGCCTGGCCTAACGGAAGTTGTATGAACAAAAACCGTAGTGACCGTAGCGTATCTGACGCCCCTGTTTGACTCTGGAACGAATTCATGACACGGTTGACATATTCACTGTCAACATGCTCCACTCACTGCTAACTCTGCTGGGGAAATTTTCTTTTGAAGGTTGATGATTGGAATCACTTAGTACTAGAATACCGATAGGGTGTGTGTATGAGGGGGGGGGGGGGGAGGTGGTTATTGAATGACAATGATAATCATGATGACCCTCTCTGTTGATATTCTTGCGTTGTTTGCAGATCGTCGCAACAGCAGGTATGGCGGTGGCGGCAGTGGTCGTGGCAGCAGTAGTCATCACAGTAGCCGTGGCAGTGGCGCCAACGCAGAACCAGTCTATCCGTCTTCCAGCGGTGGCACTAGTTCCTCCAGTCGTTCAGCATCCAACGCCTACTCAGCCAGCAGCGGTGTGTCAAGTGCCTACTCGGCATCAGCTCCTCGCAGCTATTCGTCTGGTGTCACTGCACCGTCCAACGGTTACTCAGCCGTACAGCCAGCTGCTGTCCAGCCTGTTGCAGCTGCCGCCATGCACAACACGGCCGCTGTCGTACCACAGATGATGCCAACTGGCTATGCACCAGCACCAGCAGCAGCACCTATGCAGTACGCTCCACCGCAGCAGTACGCCATGATGGGCGCTGGGATGGCGAGCGCAGCCGGAGCTGTCCCACGCTCATACTAACCTCACCACCGGTCATGTTTCCGGACTACAGTGTGTGGTGTGTGGTGTGTGTGTGTGTGTGTGTGTGCATGTATGTGTGTGCATGTATGTGTGTGTGTGTGTGTGTGTGTGTGTGTGTGTGTGTGTGCATGTGTGTTGTGTGAAGCATTTTTTCTGGTCTACATGCAATTTTATACATGTGTATGGTATGCATGCTTTTGACAATGAACGCACCAGGATTTCCTGGCTCATGGAATACACCCTTTCTGGCATTGAATGAAGGCGAAAGTACAGAAAATATTAATAAAAAAACTATTTTCCACACCTCGCAGCAGAGCAACATGAGTTGGATTGAACTGGGAGTGCCGATACGAGCAGCTGGTTACAGTATTGAAGCAAGCGTATGATGACTCCGCTTGGAGCTGTATAGATAAGCTTTACTTGTCCCTTTAGTCATACTCTCTCCCCAACTTGGGGCAATGAGGAAGAGTACACGTTGTGGGTGGGTGTGGGTGTGTGCGACGCATATGCATGCGCAAGTGCCGTGGCATGTGTATGTAACATTACTTTGGTCTTCGTATACCTGGTATTAAATTTTATAATTTTGACTACGAGTACAGCAGCAGCTGTAGATCTAGGGAGTTCTCGTACTGAAAAGTAAAACCTGCATGCTGGCTAGCCGGCTGTAGATACCTGCCTGCATGCTGGCTAGCCGGCTGTAGATACCTGCCTGCATGCTGGCTAGCCGGCTGTAGATACCTCCCTGCATGCTGGCTAGCCGGCTGTAGATACCTCCCCGCATGCTGGCTAGCCGACTGTAGATCCCAGTACATGACTGTAGTCATTGCATCTTTTTTCTTTTCTTTGCAACTCCCTCGATCAAACTGACTCAGTGAATATAATAATGATCCATTCATTTTTCCAAGAGTACAATAAACCCATGTAATGTACGTACTCTTGATTTTACGAGTATGATCATTACATGACGTAGAATCCACGTGAGTGATCACTGCTCAGCTAGCTCAGACTCAGTCAGTAGCACCAAGTCCAAGCCAAGGAGACTGGACTGTCTACAGTACAGGTTGAAGTCCTTGTCGAGAAATACAAAACCTATCAGTGTGTTCGATCACTGCCAGATTTTTGCAGTCAGAGCTCCGCCGCGCTGGGCAGTGGGGTGCCGCATGCCCCCAAGGTCAGGAGGAAATAATAATTCCGTGCTTGTGACATTTCAGCAAGAGAGATCTGTTGATACATGATTGCATGCAGCACAAACGTACCTGTAGTCAGTCACATCCATCCGGATTTGAACGGTGCTCGGTAGATGTGGCTGCTCGTCAGCCTGGGTAGTTTGGGCCGCCGCGCTCGCCAATCACAACAGTTTTTGCTTAGACCTAGGAGGACAATGGCGAGGACAAGCCCAGCACAGGCATCTCACCCTGGCTACCTGAATCAGGTTGATGCCCAGCAACTGGACCAGGACTTATTCAACGAGTGTGGCTATGGCCTAGACCAGCTGATGGAGTTGGCTGGTTTGAGCGTTGCTATAGGCTTAGCCAAGGTCTATCCTGTCAGGTGCAATGTATTGGTGTGCTGTGGGCCAGGCAACAATGGTGGAGATGGACTGGTTGCTGCTCGCCATCTCAAAGCCTTTGTGAGTGTTTTCTTTATTTTACCGTCCGGGAAACCTGGAACTCCCCCAATTTACACCCACTGCAGGCACTATACGCAACCACAGCAACTGACTGATTGCAGGAGTTGAGCATGGCTCAATATTTGCGATGCGGGCTGCGTTTAGGTACATGGCCGTTTTCAAACTGGTACAACCCGCCGCGAGCACAGATTGACTTGAGTGTTTCCATGACGCACCGCGCTTGACCCAGAGATCCCCTCCTGGGGGGGGGGGGGGGGGGTTGAAAACTTGAAATTGAGAAAACGTATTTCGCGTCAGGTTTGCGCAGCATTGCACATGCGGCTTTCCCGCCAAAGTAGCCACTTTGCCAAACGGGTCTACACCACAGAAATTGACTTGTCGGCATATCAGTAATCGACCCGGGTCAACCTTTTTCAGGTACATGTATTAAAACAGCAACTAAACACCCACCTATTGTTTTAATTATACAGACTTTCATCCAGAGTTCAACTCAACCTGAGTTGAAAGTTATCATGCAAACACGTACAGCCACATACCTAATAGGGCTTGAAAGTGCTACGTCACAGCATAGCAGCAATTTCAAAAATTCAAAAATTGGATCCACTTGGATCCAGTTTTTGTATGGATCCAAGCACATTTCAAGCCGTCTTGCTCACAGCAAGGTGATGTAACCAGTGAAACTGACTGATTTGGCTACTGGGGGCAGGGTTACAACTGGTGGCGAAGTAAAAGTCAACCCTGCATGCGACATGAGTGGGTTGCTATGCACCCACATACTGAGGCAATAGCAAAGTCACACCTTAGTGGATCCAAAATAGAAATCTGATGTCAACTTACTACTCCCTGGCCGATTTTGACGTCATCACTTTCAAGCCCTGTACGGCTATAGAGACAAGTACTCTAATTTCAGAAATTTTCGGTGCTCAATATTTTTGTATGAGGGCAAAAGGCCAGGTTAGCTGAACAGAAATCGTAGGTACAGACAAGCAATTTCCTATTGGATTATGTGTGTTAGTGTTTGTTCGGTGTATTGAAATTTTAGGTATGAAACAGATGCACCGAATGTACCGAAAATAAAAGTACACCGAAAATTTGTGAAATTACAGTATTCAATTGTACCGTCGAGTTGGTGGCAATGGACATGGTATGCGACCGAAAGCAGGGAGCAAAGCATACTCACTGTGTCAGTATAATGCAATGAATTGTGGAGTGGAATGCACTGACTGCTGCTCCTGTAGCTCTGCGATGCATTAACTGCTGCTCCTGTAGCTTTGCGATGCACTGCTCAGGCGGCGCGGCTCCTGTTGGTCTGCATACTCTGAGCCATTCCTCATGTTCCTGCCTCTGTTCGTTTCTCAAAGGGTTATTCACCGACTGTGCTGTATCCGAAACGACCGGAGCGCTTGCCGTTCACTAACCTGAGCAAGTCCTGTGTGGTAATGAATATCCCACTGCTGGGTACGGATGTCATCCCGTCGCCGACAGACATCCGTGATCAATATCAAGTTGTTCTGGATGGTATATTTGGGTTCAGCTTCAAGGGAAATGTCCGCGCGCCGTTTGACAAGCTACTAGATTCCCTAATGGCCTGTGATGTACCAGTGTGTTCTATTGATATTCCATCAGGTACAGTGTATAGACTTGGAGATGTTTACGCACACGCGTTCACACACACTTGGGCATGCACCCACACTCGCACATACGCATGCACACACACATACGCGTGCGCACACGCACACATGAACGCGTACACATACGAATGCACACACACACACACACACACACACACACACCTGCGGGTACACACACCTGGCGGCATACACATACATATAAAAACATGCCACGAAGAACACCATGAGCATAATGGATATGGCAATGAACCAAAATCGACCCATCACTGTCGTACACAATGGAATCTGAGAGTTAGGATAATTTTGGTGAAACGGTTAAGCAGACCGACGTGAAAGGGAAGAGATTTTCAAGATTTGACTCCTGGTACCTGCCTGCAAGGTGCCCGGTTGAGAGGAAGGTGACCCGACAAGAGATGTTCTGTTGTATGGGCGTTTAGTAGCCCTTTACTCCCCCCCCCCCCCCCCCCACACACACACTCAGTTGTGCATAACCCTTTACCCCCCTCCCCCACAGACACACACTCAGTTGCGTTGCATCATCACGTGATTGTTACCTAATACCATGTGCTCGGTTTGCTTGTTGCTGTGGTGCCTCAGGTTGGGATGTGGAGCTGGGCAATCCTAATGGCCTCCAGCCAGAGACACTTATCTCGCTAACTGCTCCAAAGAAGTGCGCAGCATTCTTCTCCGGCAAGCACCATCTGCTCGGCGGCCGATTTATTCCCGACTTCATTGCTGAACGCTACAATCTGCGAATACCTGCCTATCCAGCCGAAGATCAAGTTGTTGTGCTCAGCTCGACAAACGCGTGCAGTGCGAGTTGACTTGCGTCTTCGCTTTGTCCCCGACTATAGTTTAGTTAGGCCACTGCACACCCTGCACGTCTTCTCCGACTGCTTACATCCAAGTGATGCAAGTCACCCTCACAGCTGTGTGCCAGTTGTTCTGGTCAAGCCCACTGGGGCACTAGCATGACCCTGAAAACATGTCCACAGGCACCGGCGGTAGTCTGTTGACCCCCGGATTGCAGCGTACAGTGTGTGCCTGTCAGGCGCTCGGACAGTTCTTGAGAGTTTGACATCTATCTACTAGTAATGTTGCAGTGTACATGTACTTGTCAGATCTGAATATATTCTACAAGTACCAGTATACCGTATTTCCTCAAATAGTAGGCCGGTCTACTATTTTTCAACCTCGCCCTAACCCGGCCTTATAATCGAGGACGGTCTTGTATTCGAGGACGGTCTTTTATTCTTTCAACCCAGTTTGACCCTGGTCTTCTATTTCTCGCCACACAGTTTTACCCCCGTTCTTCCATTTTCTTCTACACAGTTTGAGCACGGTCTTCTATTTTTTTCCCACAATTTGAGCACGGTCTTCCATTTTTAACACAAGAACAAAGACTCATTTAGTAGGCCCGGTCTTCTAATCGGAGACGGTCTTTTATTTTTTCAACCGCCCCTACCCCGGCCTTGTATACGAGGAAGGCGTTGTATACGAGGACGGCCTTTTATTTGCGGAAATACGGTATACGCTCTGCACCCTGCGCATCGATTACTTTCCTGGCAGTTTGCCAAACCTCTTATTGAATATTCTATACGACGGACTGCTTGTAGTAGTTCAGCACGCAAAGTAAAATCATGTACCATGGGAATTTGTGGTTTGAATTGCACAGGGTCTGTCACGTGTCACTAGGGAGTCATCAAGTACTCCCTGTATGTACCGGTATATAATAACTCGGTAGTCGTGGTTTGCATTATTGCACAGCCGTGCACACAATTAGTATGTGTCAATTACATGTATAATAGCTGTAGCGGAGGTTTTGCATGATGCACGGCCATGCGCATAATCTCGTATTTAGCCAGTCCCCAAGCTCTGCAGAATGGGTGCATCGTAAAAAAAATCATTGTGTGTATTTTCAGCAGCGATTTCCCAAACCAGTCAGCATATTGATCACATACTCGGTTCTTTCCACGGCAGGCTCTGCACTGTGCAGAGTGACCCGCAAATAAACCTGACACTACTCTTTAAATACTGAAATAATAGTGAAGAAAAACTTGTCCTGCCGGCAGCTATTCGGTCCACACTGGCCGAATAATTCATCTTTTCACCACACACTGACCCCATCATGTGCCAGTTTTGCTGGCATACCTATGCACATATTATAATATTATAATTTTAGGATCTTGCCGATTATGAATGGCAGAATGAATCGGCGAAAATCTAAAATTTGATGCATAGGTCCCCACACAAGACATTAGCCCCTGGGTTGCGGCGCTTGCGTGTCCCAAGTACTCGCGTACTAAGGAACACGTGGCAGGACACTAAAAGTGACTGGTGTCTTCAATTATTTATGATGTCAGATTTGACATTAAAAGTTGAGAAGCCTCACAGGACCACCACACAGACAGTCCAGGCAACGACAATTTACAGTCATACAGTACCAGTAACTACATGCAAGAATTAGTATCAAGGCAGTAGCAGCAGCGGCAGCAGCAGCAGCGGCAGCAGCCCCAGCAATACACAGGACACACCTTCAATACCAAGCCCAGATGTTAACCTTGCATCTCATTGCAGGTAAGACAGATGGGAAAATACTGTGAAGTGAAACTATACTCGAAGTAATAATATTGCAGGTGTAGAACAAAGGTTCAGTGGATTCTCTTTCTATTCCACGCATTCCTCTGTCCACGCACTGCATAAACCCAGCCTGTGGCAGGCAAAATTGAAGAGGGAAACATCCCCGACACAAGTTGTTTCACAGAACACATATTTTTCGGTTTTACAAATCTTTTTAAAGGACTGACCGGTTTCGCTGTCTAAGGCAGCTCATCAGAGTGAAGAGAAATGTAAAAACACAACAGAATTTATGCAGGCGAGAGTGGCACTAAATTATACATGGATACAAGTAGGCCGCCAAAATGCTAGGGGCCCCAAGAGCATTGGGAGTTCCTAATTTGGAAGTGCTGCAATTCTGTTATGACATATGTGTAATAATGTGGGCTTGAATTCCAATATGGATGAATGCTTATATGGAACATGCTTTGTAATTATGAACAAGTAGTATGTTGTACATGAAAAAGCATGCAAGCCCAGTTTGTACATTATTTCTGTCTGGTAATGTGTACAGACTTATTTTTGGCAGTGTCAATATATTGACACTGCCAAAAACTGAAGAGGGAAACATCCCCGACACAAGTTGTTTCACAGAACACATTTTTTTTTCGGTTTTACAAATCTTTTTAAAGGACTGACCGGTTTCGCTGTCTAAGGCAGCTCATCAGAGTGAAGAGAAATGTAAAAACACAACAGAATTTATGCAGGCGAGAGTGGCACTAAATTATACATGGATACAAGTAGGCCGCCAAAATGCTAGGGGCCCCAAGAGCATTGGGAGTTCCTAATTTGGAAGTGCTGCAATTCTGTTATGACATATGTGTAATAATGTGGGCTTGAATTCCAATATGGATGAATGCTTATATGGAACATGCTTTGTAATTATGAACAAGTAGTATGTTGTACATGAAAAAGCATGCAAGCCCAGTTTGTACATTATTTCTGTCTGGTAATGTGTACAGACTTATTTTTGGCAGTGTCAATATATTGACACTGCCAAAAATAAGTCTGTACACATTACCAGACAGAAATAATGTACAAACTGGGCTTGCATGCTTTTTCATGTACAACATACTACTTGTTCATAATTACAAAGCATGTTCCATATAAGCATTCATCCATATTGGAATTCAAGCCCACATTATTACACATATGTCATAACAGAATTGCAGCACTTCCAAATTAGGAACTCCCAATGCTCTTGGGGCCCCTAGCATTTTGGCGGCCTACTTGTATCCATGTATAATTTAGTGCCACTCTCGCCTGCATAAATTCTGTTGTGTTTTTACATTTCTCTTCACTCTGATGAGCTGCCTTAGACAGCGAAACCGGTCAGTCCTTTAAAAAGATTTGTAAAACCGAAAAATATGTGTTCTGTGAAACAACTTGTGTCGGGGATGTTTCCCTCTTCAGTTCTTAGCACTTAAAGTCTCCCTCAAGTTTAAGTTTCCGCTACTAGAATGACAGATTCTACCCGCCGAGGTACTACACTCGGCGCAGGACATCCTCTTATTGCCGAAACGTCAGCTAAACGCAAGCGACACGACGACTCGGCAGCAACTGCAGAACCAGCTGATTTCTCCCACCACACGCCTACGTGCGTCTCGTCGTCAACACCCGGCTCTAGCCCGCTCCCAGACGTCGAGCTCGAACGGTACGTTCTATGGTGTGTTGATAGGCTCCTTACGAGCGAGAAGATCATTAGTGAGAACCGCTTGAAGGTTGATAAATGGCAGGCCCAGCTTGAAGGGAGAGTTTACGAGGATTTTCTTGTCAAGAAGTACTCCAAGCTTTCAGAACAAGCAAGACTTATAGAATGTTCAGTCTATGCCCAGGATTGTGTTATCAATTGCCAAGCAAAAATCAAGCGAGCTGATGAGTGCATTGTCGAGGCCAGAGCTAACTTAGACCAATTAGTCAGCGAGTTATGCGAAGACAAGCACATGTCACTGTTCAGTAGCAGCATTATGTACCGATACGACTTCTTACTTGGTTTAAAGAAGGCATCAGCTCTAGCCAGAAGTATTAGAGCATCTCTAACAAGGGCCAAAGCCAAAGAGACCACAGTACAAGTCATTAGTATGGATGTTGCACCACCCACTGCAGAAGAGATTGGCCAACTAGTTAAGCGAGAAGTGCAGTCAGCCTTTCGTAAGACACAGCCAAAGTCCAAGCAGCAGCAGCAGAAGCAGAAGCCTAAGCCTAAGCCTAGAGCAAAGCCGAAACTGCCGCCAAAAAACCAGCAAGGGAAAGCATCGACTGGCAGAAGGGTAATTGTCCCCCCAAATCAGAGAAGACAGTAAAGGACTTGAGATTCAAATTCATTTGGAATTTAAAATTCAAAGATCACTTTACTTTCGTTTTAAACTCTGGTTTTCACAATTATTCTCGATTCACTTTCTCCTCTATTGAGAAGCAGGTTCTCGGTTATGGCTCAAGTTTTAGACCCACAACACGTTTACCTCCTTTAACTTCATTACTTCAGGATGTAAAGAGCTTAACGAATAGAGCTAGATGGAATGACCTATTTGATAGAATAAGGCCTGCAGTGTCTCACAATCAATACATTCCGGGTTTTCATCTCCCTTCGGAGAAAACACCTCCTCTAGCCTTTCCTCACATTGAACATTCTTTACTCGATTTCAAATCCAGATTGCTTGCCGGCGTAAATGCTGCACAATTCACTAGTAAACGGAAAAGAAATCTCACCCCTGGAGAACAATTAGCTTATCAGTCACTCAATAACCGCTCTGACATCACTATTTGCAATGCAGACAAAAACCTTGGCACGGTTGTTCTGAATAGCGAAGACTACTCAGCCGAATGTATTAGGCAATTGTCAGATAAGAAGTTCTATAACAACATTACTTCTTCCGATACTTTACACGTTGAGATCTCAGATAAGCTTTCCTCTATTTGCAACAAGCATTCTGCCACACTCACAACTAGAGATACTAAAGCATTATTTAGCTGTTTTCCTTTTAAGCCAGCTAAATTCTACATTTTGCCAAAGATTCATAAAAATCTTATCGCAGGTAAAGTACCAGGTAGACCTATAGTGTCATGCATTGGATACTGCACCTCCCCTGCCTCACGTTTTGTAGATTTCCACTTAAAATCTATCATCAATAAAGCAACCACATCTACAGTCCTAGCAGATACCAATAGTTTCGTATCACTGCTTGCTTCAACTAATTTCCCTACAAACAGTAAATTAGTCACTGCAGACGTTGTCAGTCTTTATACTAACATGTGTTGGCACGATACCATTGCTACTATCGATCAGCTCCTTAGTGAAATTGATCACCCTCTCAGACAGTTACTAGTAGATCTCATTACCTTTGTTCTCGAGAATAACTATTTTAACTTTGAGGACTCCATTTACCACCAAGTTCATGGAATGGCCATGGGTACACCAATGGCCGTAAACGTAGCAAACGCTTTTCTCTTCATTCATGAAAGAAAAACACTAAGCCTTTTCAAAGAATCTATTTACTTGTTTACTAGATTCATTGATGATGTTTTCCTAGTTATCGACGAAAACCTTTGCTTAGAAAATGTCAAACTTAGTCTATATAGTGATCTAGTTGATATCAACCTTACTTGGACTGTTCCCAGTCATGAGTGCATATTTCTAGACTTAGAAATATATAGATCCATCACAGACAATGTTTGCATTCTCATGTATCGCACACATCAAAAACCTAGGAATGCGTATTTGTATATACCATTCAAGTCGGACCACCCTAGATCAAATCTACGTTCATTTATTCTGGCTGAACTTCACCGCTACAATAGAACCAATTCTCTGCTGATTGATATTGTGTCTATTCGTAAGCGTTTTTGGTCTAGACTACGACTACGTGGTTATCCTCCTGACTTCCTGGCCGCCGTCTTTAGTAACGTCGACGCCAAGCCATCTTTGCCACCAGCAAAGAAGAAGAAGGAGAAGAACATTGGTAATAAGGTTACATTTGTTACATCTTATCACCCACACTTTGTTCGCAATAGTCTTAGAACTATTCTAGAAGAATCATTCCAGAACACTGAT